AGAGAATAAGAAGAAGTGTTTAGTAATTGTAAACACAAAGGTAAATATTATTACAGTAAGTCGATGTTTAACATGATGTTAGAGTTGCATATCATATATGATAAGTAGATCGCAATCTACAGTCAAATAAGAAAGTTTACCTTGAACTCAACATATGTTTTTGATGGCTCAAAGGTTAAATCATAGAGTGATTGGGGACAGCTTAAATTCAAAAAATAAGCTGGGAGTGACTGAGGCCTACTTCGTTTCATGTTTAGGGACACATCAACGTCCTTCCCCGGATCCCAGCATTCAAAATTACTGGCCAATTGATTAAGCAATTTATGAATTGGCCCTTTGCAAATGAACCTTGAGTTAATATCTGTCAGTGTCAAGGTCAAGAACAAAAGAATAAAATGTAAATCCTCCTTCTATAACTTGACAAATAACTCCAACATACAGACATGGATACAGACATATTGGAAGGCCTGCAAAATAAATGTTTCAAAAATAAGAAACAAAGATCCTAATAATAGAAAAAAAATTAGAAATCAGCTACATTGTGTACATAAATCCTTCTACCTTAATGGCGAGACTATTGCAAGGACTAGATATGTATCCAGAAAGCTCTATTTTGCCATCACTTATGTTCAATTCATGAAGAGCAGTGGAGACCTCAATCCCAACAGTCCTTTTCAATAGTGCCAAGGGAGAAGGAGAAGAAATTGTACGAAGAAGCTCATCCTCACTACAAATAGAGTGAAATATGTAATTAAACCTATAAAGAAATAAAGAACAACCATACATTCTTCAATTAAAAATGTGTTTAGAAGACACCTTTCAATGTCGATGAGTTTGAAAGAAACCTTTGAGTGCACAAGGGCAATCCGATGTACACATTTGATGACAGCATGCAATACCTTCTTGGGGCTTCCAGTTTGTAACACAAATCACAAAGCAGATCAAGTCAGTTTAATGCATTGCACCATTTTGTTTGAGGCTGCTGAGGACAATCCCATAGAAACCACATAAAAACAAAATGATCCAGAATGGTACCTGGATTGCATGTACTTCCTCCGAACTGGTTGATTGTAAAACAAATCACGAACAACAACTGCAAGAAGAACCAAGTGATTAATCAAAAGCTATAAATGGAATTTATTCAGGGAAAATTACAATAAGCATCTATTTGGGGCAATGTAATGGAAATGACCCATCAAAGGTAATTTTCTGGTGGGTAACCTTCCTTGACATCCATTTCCATAACAAAGATGCAATATGAGACAACTTGACAAGCTTCGATTGAGACAATAAGAATCGTAATAGGTTCCTACCTGTAGTGCCCACATCCTTCCTATCATCATCTATTCCAAGATACAAACATTTGCATCCCTAAGAAAAATAGAGGAAAAGTCAACCAGAGCCAAACTTGCATAAAGCCTTAAAGCAATTCTGTTATGAACAACAAATTCAAAGGAGCAATGAACCCAAACCTTCATGACTTTGCGATACCCATTTGGCCTCCCAGAAGCTTTTGTTAAGATTTCTAACAATGACACGTCAGAAATGGAAGCCAATGCTTCTCCTCGAAAACCAAAGCTCCCACTTGCAGAATCCGTCTCAGGAGAATGATCAAACTTTGATGTCGCTGCTTACAATAAATAAAGAACAGTTCATCCATGAACAGATACCAAATTCACAAAATATACACCAATATAAGTCAAGCATCTATATTCAAAACTAGCATTTTAATTTTAACTGTAGTCTAAAATCATTGACTACAAAACATTATAAGGGAAAATGAGAACTTTACCATATCTTTCTCCAACCAACACCAATCCATCACGTGTAATCCCAAATCCTACAAGTAACATTAAAGGAACATAAATAAGGCATGAAACCTAAATATTCCTCAGAGTTATAACCAAATGAAGGAGATTAGTGCTAACCATCATCCACTACTTTTGCATAGCATGTCCCAACGCCTACAAAAACCGATACCTGAAACCACAAAAATAGTTATTAAACATTGTTACTCTCATCACTAGTTATTGCGATTTCCACACATATCTACACCACCAATACAATAATGCAATGTTAAATATGACAGTCTTGCTTAATGCCCAAACTAAATTAAATGGCAAAAAGTAATTACCTTTGTTGCGCCAGCATCCAAACTATTGAAGACCAACTCCTCCACAACGCTCGTCAAGTCATACAGGATAACTCCGGAGCGCATCGAACTACGAGCTGCCTCCGGCAAGGGCTTCACGCCCCTCATCATTTCCTGCAATGCCGATAATTTCTAACCATATAACTCACAGAGCAAACGAAATTTTTACCTTCTTCTATTTTCCTACACTTTCTCGTAAACCAAACAAAGAAAATGAAAATGTTCGTGTTGTGCTATTCGAAAAGCTAAGTAAATGTAACAACGAATTGAAATGCTCTTATCGCTTACCTGAGGGAACCAATTTGATTAGGGTTTTCCGGTTAGGGGTTTAGGGCTTTGCCAAGACGACGACGTTCCGACGAATCAGACGACGTTCCGACGAATCAGACGACAATTCGCCGGTTTTCAAAGAGAAGGAAAAAAGGCGGGTCGGCTTCAGACTCGAGTTTCAACTGAACTGGTATTTTAACTGCCGCTTGCGCGAGTGTAGAGAGGCGTGAGATTGAGTGGGCTTTGATAAAGTCACAGCCCTCTGGATTCGGTGACTCACAGCCTGAGACGTCAGTGGCCCAATCCTTGAAACCCTAACACGTCGTACTTGGGACGATGTATATCCGCTTTTATCTTTTGATGGCTGTGTCTCTGAATTCTGATTGGCTGCGGAGCCACATGTCAAAGTTCCCCGCGGGTAATTTGATTTCAGTAGTCGTTATCCATTTTACTTTACTTATTAATGACGTATAGGAGGCATCTCCAGACGTCCTCTTGAGTAATTAGGATTCTACCCAAGAGGAAAATAATTTACTTATCTCATCTTGGTCATGAAGATCAAAGCTCAAACACACTTTCACCATTGGGGGGTTGTCCAAAACAAACTTAATATTGACATAGTAGTTTTTTTTATAAAAAAATTAATATGAAAAAAGTGCATCTTAAACCAGAATTTCATTAAACAACCAATTATAACACTATAAGATATAATAATAACAAATTTAGTGGTAAGATCCGTCGCAGATTTTCTTCATAAATTTTTTATCTTAAAAAAAAGTCCTAACATTTGGACACAAATTTATATAATTGTAATAGATGACATGTTGGAAAGTTAAAAAGGAGGTGAGTGATGAGTAATTTACTTAACATAACATGCTCAAGTGTGAGTAAGTTAGTGTCCAATGCTCATAATTTGGACAATACTTTAATTGAAATGATTCAATTCAAACTCAATTAAACATTTACATACACACAAAAAACAATCATAGAGCCTCTCCTCCTCTTAGGAAGGGTTATGCACACAAATGTGATATGCATGGAGAAAATATAAACATGAAATCAATAGTGGGCCATAATTAATTTTAAAATTTATATGCCTTACATAAATTAATCCTCACTAATCCATTAGTTGGTTTGGAGCAATTGCTCCCTCAAGAAAGGTCATGGGTCCGAGTCCTAGCATTGTGTAACGTGTGTAGTATGTTATCGCCCCTCTAAATAAGAAAGGTCTTTAAAAAAATTTATATTAAAAAAAAAGAAAAAAAGAAAAAAAAAGAAGCTCTCACTAATCCATTAAATGTCCAACCAAGTCCAACCCTAATTGCCCAATAAGCAAGCAACCCCCATTTGGTTAATCTTAATCAATTCACATTTCTTAAGGAAAAAAATAATTGATTTAAAAAATAACATGACATTCATAAATTAGTTAATATTTAAAGATAGGGATAAATAAATAAATAAAAATTGAACGGATTGAATCGCAATAGCATGAATGCGTGCATGAACATGATGATGCCATGGTGGCAAAAACGTAGTTTGATGAGAAAGATGAGGTGAGTGAGTGAATGGGTAAAAAAGAAAAATGGTGGGTTTTTTGTGGGATTTGGGTCTTGGGGTTCTAGAACCAGAACCAGAACCAATCGAAATTCTGTCTTTAACTCAAAATAATATATAAGGGGCACAAACAACATCTTCCATTTTTCTTTCACCACCCTGATTTTTCTTCCTCTCCTCTCTCTCTTTCTCTCTCTCTGAAAACCCTAATTACAGCTGTGCCGTTTATCTCTCTCCTTGTCTCAAAGGAGACAAATTTAGCAATAAGATCAGGTATTTTTTTTGCTTACCCTTCATCTCTGTTTTGATCGTTGTATTGAATTTTGCAGAATTATCGGTAATGACGCTGAAACTTGCATTGATTTGTGGAATTCTGGTGAATTGAGCTTGTAGCATTATGGATTGGTTTTGATTCTCATTCGTTTGATTGTCTGCTTCCGATCTTGTTTGATGAATTCAGATTGGTCTTTGAATTCTGTTGTGCTTGTGATGCTTGTAATTCAGCTGTATTGTTTTTGTTGTTGTTGAATTATTGGATGTTGTTGATGAAACTTTGTTTGCTTCCTGGTAAGAGTTTGACGGTTGGATAAGGGAAGATGATTTGCGGTTTTCTGCTGTTCGTTCGTTTTTTTAAGTTACTTGGATGATTGAGGAAGAAGAAAAGAAACTCAATTTAGCTATGTAATTACCTGGGATTTAGTTAAGCTTGTTGTTTTTCTTAAGGTTTTATTAGAAATTGAAGGCATCCAAACCTGGATGTGAAGTTCTCGTCTTTCCATCTGGGTTCTGTGTATGGTGATTCAATATTAAGAATGGTTGAATTGATTTTGGATTTTGGATTTTGTATGCCACAAAATTATGGGTTTACCTAATCATCTGTATTCATGCATATGAAGTCCTTGCCTTTTCATCCAAAACTGACGCTTAATGTTAATTCTTATTGTTTTGCAGATGGAGTGGTCATTCTCTCAGTGTGGAGAGTAATTGTCATTTCAGTGTAAAAGGGTATATCGGAAGCAGACCAATGGAGGCTAACATATGTGATGTCAATCATTTGGATGCCGATGTCTTATTGCCTCCACGAAAGCGTCTGCTTGCTGGATTGAAGAAACAGAGTCCGGATGGTGATGGATCTTCATGGCTGTCTCTAGTTGCTTCTTCAGCTTCAGCATCAGCTTCGGCATCTGCATCTTCCTCTTCATCGCCTTCTTCAAGTGAATTTAACACACGTCTTAACAATATATTGAGTTCTCATAACCCTAACCTTTCACCTGAGGAGCTGGTAGAGATCTCAAATTCAGCTGCTGCTGCTGCAGCTAAGGCTGCAGAGGATGCAAGAGCTGCAGCTGAAGAGAAAGCTGGCATAGCTGCAAAGGCAGTGGCTGCAGCCAAGAGTGCTTTAGAATTGGTTGCCTCTTTTTCTGAAGATGTAGGATGCAAGGAAAAATACCTGAAAAAGAACAAGCTCAAGAAGCATGTTCCAGTTCAGCTTTTGTACAAAAAATACCAACCAATTGAGAATTGCAAGAAAGATGAAGAGTTGGCCCGAAAGTTGCATAGAGCTATAAATAGCTCCCCGAGAATCTCAAAGAATTCATCAAGTACTGACTCGAAAGGTCATAAACACAAGAAGCCTAAAATCGTGCACAGTTCTGAGAAAGTTAGGGTTTCCAATGGGGGTATTGAGTTGGAACAAACCCTGAACCTTCTTGCAATGGACATGCAGTAGCAGGTAAGGTCAATGTTGAAGGCACCATTCTAGAGTTGTACAAAAACAAAGCCGAAGAAAAAGCTTATAGACATGATAAAGCTGGTCGATTGGAGATGGATAATGAGGAAGCAGAATCAAGTCAGATGAAGGAAAAAAGTTGGGATGATGTGTGTACTAGTGGTAAAAAGAGGGGAAGAGTGAAGCTAAAAAAGTTGCCTTTAAGCATTTGCACCTTCAGGGATCAAGCAAATCCCAAAGAAGAAATGGATGCAAGAGGCTCTCCATTGACTGTCATAAACAGGGGCAATCCTACTGCTGGAAAGAAGCCTTTGTTTCCTGTGGAGTCTTCTGCTGATAGTATGCTGCCAATTGAGGCCACACCAGTGTGGAAATACCAGGATTTCAAGGCGCCTGCGTGTGTGAAACAAAATAAAGTCATGCAGTCATAATATTTCTGAATTGATATTTTGTGACAGGTGGCTATAAGATAGAATGGGATAGCTGAGGTAGGATTCACGATGTTCTTCGCTTCTTATAGAAACGGCCCTTATTTTGATTTATCTTTTTGCTCCTTTTGGTTTTGTAATGAACTTGGAACTGACTACATGTAAATTTAGATGTTAAATTGCTGCTTGCGTCCGTGCTTTACAGTCCAAATTGCCTGTTGCTCTTTTGACAGCAAAGCTTGAAGTTGAGAAACAACAGGGGTTTCCATTAGATTGGTTAGTCTTTTGTTGATATGTTGCACAATAATTCCTGCTGGTGTGCTGATGATAGATGTACAAACATTGTCAATGTCTTTGGTAATCATATTCTTTTGGAAATTCATTCATTCTTTTTTCCTTTTCCGATTTCCTTTTGCTTTGAAATTCTTCTGGTATGAGATTATGGTTTCGCTTGTTAGCACTTTAAATAAATTCAGAGCTCTGCTTCTGGAAGCGATCGAAGAATTTCTCGGGAACCCTACAAGATCCGTTCGTTCTTTTTCGCACATCAGACAGATGGTCAGAACTTTATCTGGGATGAAGTCCATAAATATTTCTCTATTAAATGAACCAAGCCTGAGTGGTGTGCTTGATGAATTCATTTTGAGGCAACAAATGTGATGAGTTTGTGAAACCTTGTATGACAATAAATTGATGAGAAAGAATAGAATCTTTGATGTTTGGTACTTAGGTTTTTGAAGATGGTTTTGAAGATCCGATCTTGGAGATGCTGCCAGGGTGCCAGCAATATAATATATAGAACTGTCAAAAACTCTGCTTCTGCTGACGCTTTAAGGAATTTTTAAGCTTTCAGGGCCAAATACTAATTGGAAGTTTGGAACCCACATTAGCCGACCGTGGGTGAAAAGTAAATAGTAAAATACTGGTCTTTGTCATAACTTGTTACTCTTTTCAACGTCTTTCACATATAAATTTGAGTTTTTTTTTCTTTTATCTTTTTGATTGTTGTTAAATCTACTGCTGGAGTCAACTCAACCAACCAAAACTAACCTTAAAGAGAAAACTAAAATACTTCTAAAACGTCTAAAATAATTTTCTACCAACCCATCAACGCCCTCCAAATCCAAAGTCTTCGTCTCTCTCTCTCTCTCTCTCTCTCTCTCTCTCTCCCAAGTCTCAATCTTTTCTCATAAACCTCAGAATCGCATCCAAAAGAAGAAAGTATGAAACTTTTATCGAAGTGGGCCACTTATGGTTGGGCGGTGACCACACTTCGGGTTATCATGTCACAGTTGGTTGAGTTGAGCATTTAGAACATGACTTTCATATGAAAATTAATTAATTAAAGGCATTAATACAAAGTAGATCCACCGGGAATTTTCCTAAAGTTATCAACATCAGATTAAATTTTTACAAACTGAAAAATCATACACGTGAATAATAATTTTATTTCTCAATTGATTTATTGTATTAATATTGGGACCACTTCAGTTATGCAGGACTGTTCCTTCACTTCAGTCATGCAGGCTGCAGCCCAGACAGGTGGAATGTTATGTCAGTCTGTCAGAGATATGAAAATGTCAGTAATATAAAAAAGAGCCGCTATGGTGGATTTTTTAGGGTACAAATTTGTCTACGAGTGCAATTATAGCCGTTAGATTGACGAGTTTATTTAAAAATCACAATTCCATTTCCTTTGGATTGTGCTTCCATTTTCGTTAAGTAGGAATTCATACTGAAGATGGTCACCAATCATCATGAGTATAAAAATGCGGGAAACATAGATGTGTATTGTTGTTCTGGCTTTAGCTAGTTTACAAGCCACCAGGGCATATCCATTTTGACAGTCGAATTCCTCTATCTGAATTCTGACTGTAATTTTTCTCACAAAAATCATTACTAATTTACATCTCTTATAGTTATAGTTAATAAAAAAATAATAAGAATCTTATTAGATGAGTAACAAACAAAATTAATTCACAATCAATTGTCACAATGTGGTGTGGAGGAGTGTTTGGAAGCGTTAACATAGTGTGGTAGGTGACAGCATCATCCTTCATTCCTTTCTTCACTTGCCAACCTTAATCTGAAGGTTGCTCATCCCGACATTCACCTTCTCCATTTTAGATTTATTTTTCATCTCAGTTTGGCTCGAAGTACTGCGATTGAGCCACGGGTGCTGCAGGCACTGCTGAGCAGTTGGCCGCTTCTCTGGTGAAAAATCGAAAATGGGACAAAGGAATTCTGCAAATTCCCGAGCATCAGTCTCAGAAAATTTGTATCTATCAATCAGTATTTTATCAAGTGGCCAAAATTTCAGCCTTCGAATTCTTTTTAGATCCCCGTGTCTGTCGAAGAAATCCTTGGAACGAGCTCCTGCAATTGCTACCTGAAAACCCAAGCATAAGAAAGAAATGGAATCAGACAAAGTTATAGGAGAACTATCCGAGTGCAATGAAGGATTAATATCTCACCTTCCGAGGCATCTTTCCAAGGAGTTCCATCATCAACGCAAGGTGATCCTGAAATCAATCCAATGGATATTTCAATTGCAAAGCAGTAAAAAGAAGGCTGTGCGGGATAGAAAATTCTCCACATAAAATGGCCAAATCACATACAGAAACCTTATTAAAATTGTCAAATTGTTCATAGAGAAGAGAAAGTCCAGCCCAAATATTGTATCAAAAGGAGAAACGTTGGGGTTCCGGGTTCCCATTGTCCAACTTGAAAAAAAAACAGATTATATATAACTTTATTTTCTATAAATAAAGTGGGCACGCTATAATAACATTAGTCCAATTGTAAAGAAATTTAATCAAAATAGTGTAAAGGTGAAACCCATCTTTACCTCATCCTCACTAAAGCCTTGTCCCATCTTTGGAGCAAACAACATGTCACCAGTTGCAAGCTCGAAGGCGGTGCAAGCAAATGACCACATATCAACTGAGTAGGAATAACCAGATCGCAGTACAACTTCGGGAGCTCTATACTGCCTTGTTTGAATCTCTTCTGTGAGTTGCTTGTTAGCCCAACAGGCATTTCCAAAATCAACAACCTTGCACCTTACATCAATCCCATCCATGTTTCTTTCAGACTTCGGAGCTTCAACACCTCCCATAGATTCTCTTCTCATGGAAATCTTAGCAACTGCCCGCCTTGCCCTCCTTTTCAACTTTTTCTCAATAAGATTCATGGTGGCTCCACCGTTCAGGTTCCCTTCAGGCCTTTCAAGAATTGGGGTGAGGCTAGACCTGACTGGATCTTTGGCAGGATCAATGGTGGTAAATAGAAGAATGTTTTCAGGTTTTAGGTCAGTGTGAATGATACCAAGTTCTCTATGCAAATAATCCAGACCAATCAATATGCATTTGCAGATCTCCCTAACTTGATTCAATTTAAGGCCTTTGTAACGGTTATACTTGATCAGCCGAAGTAAGCTATCACCAAGAAACTCAAGGACCATACACTGATGCTGCCCATTTGGGCCTGCGTGCTTAAAATGGTCTATCAGTCGCACAACACACTTGGAGTTTGTGGGGTCACCATCCGCAATATTAGAAAGAACTTCAATCTCATGAAGAGCAGCTTGAGCAAACTGTGCTGCGCTTTTCTGAATCTTAAGAGCCACGTACGTCTAATAAGTATAAAAGGGAAATAAGATGATGCAAAAGTTAGATAACTGAAGCAAACATATTACTCTTCCTAAACAAGCAATTTACTTCATGGATGCACGAAGAAAAGAAAGAGCCAAAAATCCAAGTATAGCATCAAAATCAAAAGAAACATCACAATTCACAAATGTCTTGTTGATATAAAAATCACTTCTTCAGATTATGTGTTAGCCAAAGGCGACCCAACATCACATGAAAACAATCAAACACATTAGAGCCAAAATGCTTGAAACGTACATAATACATCAATTAAAAATGCATGAACACAAGCTAATTCAAATAAATAAAGAAGATCTTGTTCGTAAAAGTATCAGAATCCACACACACAAAAAATGCTAAAGTCAATTAAAAAAAGGGCAATCATGAATTAAAACCAATAAATCGATAGATTTAAATAAAACCCAGTAAATATTTCATACCAATAAGTAGGTAAAAACAGATAAACAATAATGACACAAAGAAAATTAAAAAAGGGCGCGGCTTACAGAAGTGGTGGTGTCGTATGCGAGCCAGACGGTGGAGAACTGACCCCAACCCAGCTTCCTCTGAGCCACGTAGCGGCCGCCTGCGAACTGATCGCCGACCCTGACGGCATGGTAGCCTCCTTTCCTGTAGGAGTCGATGCCCTCATCGTCATCCTCTGACCCTGATGAAGATGAACACGACATGTCGTTGATCCAACTGGGTTTTGATTCTCTGATCTATTGGATTGGGTTTGTTGAATATGAATCTCACCAATGAAAAAGGTCCTTCCTTTTTCTCTGTTTTTGTTGATGAATGATGATTTGAAGTTTGATTTAGAAAAAGAAACAATTGTTGGGTAAAAGGCTAAAAATGGATGGATGGATGGATGTCGATGTTATTGTGTGTGTGTGAGGGGGGAAGGGGGAAGTTTCCTGTTTTATGCAGATTGGATTGATAAATGGATTGGATTTGATTTGAAATTGATGACTCTATTGCAATGAGAAAGGAGACTCACTAACTCTTCTCTCTCCTTTCTCTCTCTCTCTCTCTCTCGGTCTCAGATTAAATTGGGAGTTTGTGTGTCCTTCACCACAAAGCCTCTTCTCATGTCTCTCGTCTCTCCACTTTTTTCTCTTTTGCTTTCCCTAGTTGCTTGCTATTGCTGGCCTTTTTCCCCGGTGCAGCAAGTGGTGGGTCTTTCCGAGGAAAATGGTTGTTTTTTTTTACTTTCTTTCTCATTTTGCCCTTTGTTTTGTGACAACTTGCAAAATGGGGATTTTGGGTTTTGTTTTTGGAAATCACTAGAAGATGAGGTGGCCATGGTTTTGGGGATTAAAGGGTTGTACTCATTAGGTGGAGTTGTGAAGTGATCGATTTCTTGGAGTTGGGAGAGGTTGATGGTTGATGGGTGTCAGCCACCTGCCCTTCATTCTTTAATTCTTTATGGGTTTTGTCTAACTAAACCACGAACGTATTCTCACATTGACAGTATGTGCACGCTGACCCTCACTATAGAATTTTTGTACCGACATATTTGTGTATTAGAAAGAAACTTTCATGCACTGAATTTTACACGAGATAGGAACTTATTTTTTGTGTCTTAATTTGTTCCAAGTGTACATTGGCATTAAAGGAGTGAGCTTGTTTTGGTTTTCCTGAAATCCAATTCATTGTTGTAAAGTAGTGACCAGCTTGTTTGAAAAATAAATAATGGAAATAATACACATGACAATAATATTATCAATAATGATCATATCAAATATAATTTACACTAAAGTTAAAAACAACTGGAAATAATGAAGTATAATAAGATCCAAACCGTTACTTAAGCAATTGTGAATTAAATTCGATTGGTACATAAACGATTCTTGATTGAAGAAGATTAAAATAGGCACAATCACATGCTTTTGTATCACTTATTTTATGCATATGCCATGGGTTACATTACATCTTTCTCATTCCAACATGACCCAGATGTCCGTACAACCTTAGTGAGACCAGAAATGTTCATAAAGTTGTACGCTTGTAGCCCTTAGGTGCCAAAGTTGAGTACTTCCAAATTATTCAATTTCTACACGAAAATGGGCAAGGGTAAGTGAGGAAGTTCCACATTTTTCTAGACCCTTCTTTGATATCACCCAATCTCTAACACAATTTTGATTGATTTTCAAATTGAACTTGAAAAGCTTGACCATCGAAGTTGCAAGACTGAAAAATCAGAACTCAACCACCAAATCAACGGCAAAAGTGCTACACATTAGGCCTTACAATTGGTGAGAGAGAGCAATCAAAATTTACTTGATCTACTGCCTAATCAAATCAGGCTGTGGGTGCAAGAATCGCTGCTATTGAAGACCAAGTTCCAGAGACTCCAATAACCACACCAAGAACCACAAAAGTCCCATCCAAAAGCATCCCATGCCAACTCAGTTCTTCCTTGAACACCATCAAATGAAACAAAGCAGGCAACACAAAGCCCAGAGCAACACACACACTGCTCCCAACCAGAGACAAAAAGTCTGCAAAATTAGGCACCAAAAGAGCCACCAAGCTGACCACAAACACCATCACCCACCTCAGCCACAGGCAGTACCTAGAATCATTGAACCTTCTCTCCACCACTTCGAAAACAGGGTTCATCATCAATGGTAATGTGAAGAAGAGGTTAATGCAGAGACCCATCTGCACCAGAGTGCTCACCAAGCCTTGCCCAAAATTGGTGGTGATTATGTCTTTGGTCTCTTCACCAAAAGCAAAGTAACCCAGAACTCCAAATGATCCATACAACAAAGCAATGAAAGCCATACACAAGGCCAAGACTTTACCAAACTTGTCTTTGTCTTTAGCCTCTGATTCCAATGGTAATATCATTCCAATTCCTTCAAAGGCATAAACAGCCACACCAAGACCATAGAAGAAAACAGAGAAGCCTCCAAAAGTCTGCAGAGCTGGCCTATTTTGCAGAAAAATCATAACATCCTCCACCATCACAACCCCCATAGCTCCAAGATCAACAACATCGGCGAAAATGCTCAAAGGGGCCAAATGGGTCAGCGTAGGAATCGAATTCAATCCCAGCTGAAATGGAAAACAAGCCCAAAGGTACAAGGATTTTGGGGCAAGACCCAGAATTCGATCTGGTCCAGAGTAGTTGATAACAAAAGCCAAAGTGTTTGATATAAAAATTAGATAGCTCACACAGAAACCAGCCTGAGCAAGCACGATCATGATGTCAACTGAGAGTCGTCCAATTGGGCCACACACAGCGAAGCCCAGGTCACCAAAAGATGCGATCTTTGAGAGGCCATGGACAGAATCGAGCTTGCGGCGAGTGTGAATTAAGAGCATCATACAGTAGTAGGTGAAGAAAGCCACAGAGAAGAGCATGATAGAGCCGAAGACCCATCCGGTTTTCTTGAAAGTGTACGGAAGACCCAGCACGCCTGAACCCACTATGGCTATGAAGACGTTGGCGAAGGTCTTCCCTTGGGACGAGAGCTTGCGAGGTCTGGCTAGAAGTGGAGTGTCTTCTCTAGGAAAAGGCGGGAGTGTTTGTGAGGATGAGCTCGCTTCTTTGTCAAACACCACCATGGTAGCTTTGTGCCTTTGGGTGGCGAATCTCAAGTTCCTAATTTTAATGAAGAAAGAGAAATTGGGTTGCTGGGATTTTAGCTTTTGATTCTAAAGAAGTGAATTGAGTTGAGAGAATGGATGAGATTTTGAGTTGAACGGGAGATTTTTTGGGGTATGATGGGAATTGGGAAAGATGTGTTTGGGGATGGGGCTGCTGGTGGTGGCTGGTAGTCTATTTGTGCAAGTTATTTTTGGCAGGGTCCAAGAAGCCAAATGAGAACAGGCATTTATCCAGGACCAGCATTAAAATAACTCCTAAAAAAAAGTTGTTTCCGCAAAATTCAAGTTCCATCAAATCCAATTTTTCTTCTTTCATCAAGAAAATTGTCAATATTTTTGGAGGATATAGTAAACATATAGATATGGTTTTTCTCTTAATTCTCGGATTTGAAGTAGTTCATTGTATGTGTCAAAATTCAAACCCTTCTTTGAAAGTTTTGGTTATTTTTAAAAGTTTTTATAAAAATTGAGGTTTATGAAAGTTTGAGGTAAATTTTAACTCATTTTAATAAAAACTCCTTTTAATTGAACTATTACCATCAGATGTAATTATCAATATTATTTTGAGAGGAAGTACAACCTAAATTGAAATAATATTACAGGTGTCTTTGAATGTTTGGCTGCTGGTGTCGATATACTCATAATTACTCTTCAGGTGGCAAAGTCGGTCACGCGGGTCCTCGCATAACAATCAACAGGGCACACCAGCTCCACACCACAACATACGAATTCTTCTACCGACCACCACATATTCAATATTGTATTCATTTTTATTTCTAGGACCTTTCTGATAAATTGACGTAATTCATTTTAATTTTCTGATGAAGCCAAAACAAATGGCCTTTCTTTGAAGGAAGGACCTAACTCTTGCTAATAAAGCCAAAACAACACGAGAGATGAGCTATCATCACAAGGCAAACGGTTGCAACTTTTCAAAGGATTATTGTCAACAAAGAGCCATCTCCCTTGGCGGCCAGAATCTAATTCAGTTCAGGTATTAAACAACACACAGAACACGGGTTATTTGCAAGGGGCATATTCTTGTTCTACAAGACTCTTAACCATTCTGTTCCTTAACACAGACGCAAAAGCAACGACTTCCTCCTAAATAACGAGTAAATATTCCATTTGCAAAAACAAATGGCGCCCGAAGCTTCCTGCGAATCCGGCGGAGAATTATAAACAGCCTGTATTAGGTATTGAGGTGATGACAGATGAGATCCATAAACCTCTTTCAACTATGGTGGTTCAATCCACTACCAACTTTTGGTTGCACAAAAAACCCATGATCTGAACACGAACATCAAATGTTGATGCAACAGAAAGGTAACCATGACTGATCGTCTAATTCATCAGCCCGAAGACATCATGAACATGCCCTTCTTGTTCATGGCAAAATTTAATCCACGGATGAAACGATCATGGACAAGGAGACCTGGAATTCCCCTTCCCCAACTCTCTGGTTATAACCTTCTTCTATCCTCAGTGGCAAGCCCAACAAGTAAAAACCTTCCAAGTTCCTATTCTTATTAAAAGCTCAAATGCTTCATCTAATCAATTTTCCTCACCAGTAAAACCCTCCAACTAGTAATAAAATCTGTTTCCACATGAGTAAAGAGCTCAAGAGCCTAATCCCACATCACCTACTCAAAGTATCAGTCAGAGAGCTACTCCTGAGCTCATTCTGGGAAACTACTTTTCCAATTTGGTCAATTAATAAACGTATTCAATCAGGACACAACTATATTCAGAATGACATAAAGAAACAGAGAGAAAAAAACTCAATTCTGCAGAGGATCCAAGTGCATTTACATTTGCAAGGTAAATTTTATATGGAACTTTTCAAGCAATCAACTTCAGCTGTGTCTTGTAAGAAAATACCAAATAATAAGAGAATTCATAAACAGAACAAGGCTAGTTTGATGAAGTGCAAGCCATCCTCATTTCTCATTAAAATTGAAAAGCTACTGCAAAATTCGTAAACAAGAAAGCTACCCAATTACACTAAGCTCATGAACAACACTGACAAAATCGCTATAAAACTAACAAGTCACAAGCAAAACCTCTCAACTCAAACCAAACAAAAATCCAATCTTCTTCTCAAAACAACGATGATGGTTTCAAAATGTGACCTTTTCCCCCAAATCAATCCAAGTCCTTAACAATCTTAATCCCCATAGAATTAGCCGTACCAATAATGGACTTACAAATGGACTCCAAGGGCATGTACTGGCAATACGGGTCAGATTGCTTCACTTTGGCGATCTCATACAAGTGCCTCACAGACAGCTCAGAAGCGACCGCGTGTTTGGGTCGGCTGCTGCCGGAGTCGACGCCGGTGGCATTTTTCAGGTACCAGCTGACAGACGGTGACTTTACCGTGAACTCGTAGGTGTTGTCCTTGAAGACCGTCAGGGTCACCGCCATGGGTATGCCGGGTTTGAAATTTTGGGTCTGGGCGTTGAAGTCCTTGCAGAAGGCCATCATGTTCATCCTGTATTGACCCAAACCCTTGCTCAGCGGTTGGGGTGTGGCCGCTCCCGCCGGGGCTGTGACCCGGATCGATGTCAGCACGGGTCGTCGGGTAAGAATCTCCTTCAGGGTTGACATGGCTTCGCTGTTCTCACTCTGATGAATGGTTTTTAGTTTTTGGGAGAGTGAGAGTGGCGTGGGTAGCAAGTACAAGGGCCGGGCGGAGAGTTCAATACAATAACAAGCCCAGTAATTACAGGGCCCGGCCCATGTCATCATCCTTACTTTTATATTTTTTATTTGAACCCAATCCTAGACATGTATTTATAAAAAAACCCAAACACTATTTAAACATAAAAACACACCCAAAATAAACCCCAAAGTCAACAATTGTATATTTTTTGGGTGTGTTTATAAATGGGTTTTGAGCGTGTGTAATGATGGGTTTTGGGTGTGTTTATAAAGTGTTTTGGGTGTTGGGTTTTTTTTATAATTTCAGCTCCCATTTTGAGTGTTTTAGTGAAACTCTCATAAATAAAAGTGACTAATAATAATAACTAATTTGTAAAGTAATGTTTGTTTAGGGGCTATGCTTTAATACATTTTACCAAGGATTAAGAAAAATGCAAGGGGATTGAAGTTCAAATTGTTAAAAGCAATTATTTCTGCATCTAAGGTCTTTTGTTCGAATCCTCGCACCTTTAGTATCACTTTATATATAAAAAGTGTAGTCATTAAGAATCAAGATAAAATTTATACTGTAACAAAAAGGGTATGATATGTTACTGCAAGGCCTATTTTAAGATCATCTAATCCATAGTTAGTGTTTGATCTTATTTGTTCTAGCAATTTATTGCACCACCAAGGTCAACTGCCATACTCAAGTCCTCTATTTTGATTTATCGATAAGAGTATTTTAGAGCATTATTCATTATTATTAGGCCATTACCCAAGTCTCTATTGTCCATTTTTGAGTTTTTCCTTTCCTAGAGTTAGTATCAATATAAAGAATTTAGCATTTTCACATTTAATACTCGTATTGTACACATACGTACATATTTTTTTTTTCATGTTTAATACACTTGGTTTTTACAAAAGTTTCAATATTACACACAAAATACTCACATATTATTGAATAAAAATAAAATATATTAAAATATTAAAATACTAATTATTCACTAAGTAAATAATAAGGAAGCTGATTTTCCCACTCCTCTTTTACCCACATACAATCTCTTTGTTAGAAATTGGATGTTCTCACTCATCTTTTGTCCACTTACACTCCTTTTTTTGTTATAGTAAAAATTATTAAAAAACAAAAGGGAGTGTAAGTAGACAAAAGGGGAGTGGGAAAATCACAACACAATAATAATGATAAAGCAAAAGGCAGAGTTAAGTGTTTGATCTTATTTGTTATAGCAATGTATTGCACCACCGAGCTCCACTGCCATACAACATACTTTGTAGTAAGGAAGAAAAGTGGACTTGTAGTGTTGTAGCAGCCAATGTCTTGCCTATTATGCTTTAAAGAGTGAATGGAAATATATCAATTGTATGACTTATTTACAATATCCAGCCACTCAAGGCAAATGAACCCAAAAGAAAAAGCAAAAAGCAAAAAAATAAAATAAAAATAAAAATGGCTTTATACAGGATCCATTTCTTCAAGTTCTACACACGACTACTTGTTTTATAGTTTGCTATTTAAATCCTATAACCAAGTTGAAGTAGGCTGACTGGTGCAAGAGAGCCTTGCAGCAACTTATATATTTCTAACATTCAAAAAATTTCCGAATCAAAGCTTCAAAATTTGAGATTGTTAATAGTATCTCAAATCGGACAGGACGTATAGTTAAAGAAATCAGGAAGCGACATCCGCAGCAGGGCACAGGAGCAACCCAGAAAAGTTCCCAACTAGGGGTGTAAGCTGCACATTTATGTATGCAAGCCGTTGTGTTTTCAGATATTGCTTAGGACACCCTTGAGAAGGTCCAACCCTTCAGCTGAAATACTTCTCCTCTTCTGGGACTTAGGAATTTCGGTTTTAGGAGGTGGATCTTCGGAGAAACAGACCACAACAACAGTCAGGTTATCGCATGTGTTCCGTTGGAGTGCCTCCTTGACAAGCGCTTTTGAACATCTCTCAGGATCGTTATGCTGCAGGAGCTCCTTCCTTACCATTGTAACTGCACACTGGCTGCTCATCACATCCCACAAGCCATCGCAGCCCATTATCAAGAACTCATCTTCTTCCGTTAGGACAATTTCCTCCAATTCTGGCTCAGAGCTTAAGGGGCAGTTTGACCCTTTAGAGCCCTTGATATGCCAGTCACCAAGAGCACGTGCCACTGATAATTGGCCATTGAGGTAGCCATCGTAGATGACACCGCCCAGCTTCTCAATTCTTAATCTTTCAGAGGTGCAGTTAGGTTTGTGATCTTTAGATAGTTCAATTGCCCTTCCCCGCTTCCCCAACACAGCTCGACAATCCCCAGCATTAGCGATTAGCATGGTCCTGCAAGTACAGTATTGAGCAAATGTCCACGGGAAAGTAAACAGGATAGACACAATTTAATTATTTTGTACCAACTTCAATGATTAGTCAGCGCCAACAAAAGATAATTACTCATGAATGCAGATAATCATATATAGCTGGATGTATCAGTTCCTCACCTTCCTAAAATAAGGGCAGTCAAAGCAGTGGTACCAGAGGACTTATCAACAGAGCTAGCATCTGCAAATGCATGATCAGCCTTCACAAAGGCGCTCCTAACTGCCTTTCTAATGCCTGATGGGAAGTGAGAGTCTTCAACAATGAATCTAAGGATGTTTTTTTTAATAAATGATGCTGCATCAACACCATTGTGTCCGTCAAAGACCTGTGGAAGTCAACAAAATCTCAGTAAGAGTCCAATTAACACTCTAGGATAGAAGGATATAAATGCTTCTTGTCACCTAGCTTCTAACAGATTAGAATGCCCAACTCAGGGATGAAGTGAATAAGATGGCCTTTGTCCTATGATATGGAAAATTCATTGGTGGAAGTGAAGTATGGTTGTCACTCCAAAAAGGCACCACGCAAAAAGAAATTAATGATGCATCTTTTGGGGTGGGTTGTGTGTGAGAGATCCTGCATGTAAGAGTATCTATACTTACTAGGAGTATTGATAAGGGGACTGTAGAGAAAGAGTGCCCCAACAGTGTATCCTGTGCTGACATGTTGCCTCTTGCTGCAAGAGAGTTATTGATATTGTTTGTATTGGTGTACATAGTTATATACAGGTATGGAGAGAAGTGTACATAGTTTAAGGATTTATTGGACCAAACAAGTTGGAACAAAAGTTGATAGCGTAATGGTACAGGGCAAATGTCAGCCGAGAACAATGGTATTGTGAACATTGATGACAAGACTCGCCCCGAATTTCCTCGGAATCCGGGACGGACCCCGCCTAATTACCAACATCAACCTAATGCCGGGCCCACTTAGTAAAGACTGAGACTTTCTACCAAAAATTTGGCAGAGTCCCCCCTGTAAATTGAACATTTCCAAACTTCAACCTATTCAAAATTTACAGTTAATTACAACCAACTGGCAGCATGCTTTCCAAGCAACAAAACATTTTACAACAAAGGCCTCCGGCCTCACAAAATTAAACCCTCAGCGGGCGATACAGAGCATATCTAAGGAATTCAAAATACATCCGAAGTACCGTTTAACTGAAAGGAAAAACAAAGCAGCAAGAGTCTTTACGAAGACTCGAGTTCCAAGATGCACCCGGTCTGGCTCAACTGCAAAGCTCAGTCGCTACTGGCTGGGGGCGCAAAATAGAAAGTTGTGAGTGGACAAAAATCAAGTTCAGTGCAAAAGAAATCAAAGTAGTATAACCCCCACCTTTATCAAAAACATACAATGAAACCATAGGCATAACAGAACCATCAGAAACAAAATATATAAACATACACGAACATATATATACCGGATCTCAAATCCGTAATCCGTGACTAATGCTTCACGAAACCCACCACTCAACTTAAGAGTCCCGAGAGATTAGACTCTCGTAAACGTACTCAAAAGTACGACCGGCGAGGAAGTATCCTTACTGAAAAATAGAACGAAGGAACATTCATATAAATAAATAAATATAATATACATACATAATAATAAGAATAATAATATGAGATAATATAATAATAATAATAATAATAGTAGTAGTAGTATATAAAGATAACCCATATTTAATTGTACCGGGGAAACAATCCAACCGGGGGACTGTTTGACTAGGCCACATGGCAGAGCCATTCCTCAATTCACCATGTGTCTAGGGAACGAGCCGTCCAACCGGGGGACTAACTCTCAGCCAGCACATACAGCCGACACAGTCAAAGCTTGTACGCCTGAAATACCAGTCCTACGCGCGCAGACTACCCCAAATCCAGGGTCCACAGCAACATCCCCTCAAGGATGCCCTGAGTTCTCATCGTAACCAAATTCAGGTCAGGGGAGGTACATAAATTAGTGCTTAACGCACTCCAAATAATAGATCCAACATTACCTTTCCATAGTTCATATTAACCACCAAGTACCCCATGCATAGCCGCATGTAAATATAGCTTCTCAAATTTCAAATATCAATGTAAGTTTCATGAAAACCTCGAATTCCTATTCAAGCATATAAAAATAATTACTAGATATAATAAAACGATATGCCATATTTCTATGAATAAAATCATACTGAGTTTCAAAAGAAAAGTCCACTCACAAGTAGTCCCACACAGCTTGACCCTTAGAGGGTCCCGCCTGCTGCGTATGCTGGGTCGGAGTACCTGATTCAGAATACGAAAATGCGATGAATATCAAGCACTTCAAAACAGAACTTGAAATAAAACCCTAGCTTCCCGGGAGTTCCTATAGGTTTTACGAGGGCTAGGATACACGTCCTGTAAGTTTGGTCCGAAACGGACGGTCAGATTGCTCACGATCGCACAATTGGACGGTTACTGAAACCCTCACCCTAGGGTTGGCATTTCCGGAGTATCCGGGACTCCGTTTTACGATCCGTCAAATCCTACACGATCTTACGGTTATCCAGAGGAACATACTTCAATTTGAAAACGATCCAACGGTCAGAACATATCGAACCCGAATAACGCACAATATGCGATAATTCGTTCGATAGTCAAACGACCTCGGAATCGAGATCCGCGAAATCCTATGCGCTCGTGACAACGTAAAGATCACATTGGAACAGTTTGCAGCTCCACCACACTTGCCCACGCACCGGCAGCAAGCGGGTGTGCAGAGAAATTCCGGCGACGGAAAATCTCCAAATCACAAGTCACCCTCCCGGCTACAGGTCCTACTCAACTAGGGGAGCACTTCATTCAACTACGGCGAAGCCCAAAACCACCGGGAACTGGCCGGAATTTCGAATTGAAAACCGGCCAAAACCCTAATTCGAAAATCACTTCCAGAACCTCAAAATCGTTTCAATCCTAAGCAACAGGCAGCTAGAACAGATAAAACGAAGGAGAAAACTCACCTTTAACACCGGAAAAGGATGACTGAAGCGGTGGTGCAACGATCGGAAAACCTCCGATTCGAACCAGTCGCAACGGTCGGCGGTTCTCGAGCTTTACAGTCGGGATTTTGGGTGGGTCAGGTCCGGGACTTCACTACGAGTCGAACGGTTTAGGGTTTCACGGTTGTTAGGTGTTTCTGATAAAAGTAATTAGTAACCTAGTGGACAAATTACTTGTACGAGATTCAACATAGATTTCCATGTAGTGATTTATTTATAGAAAATTCGGTGTAACTCCAAAATCGAAAATAAAAGTTGGATGCAATCAGTATTTGTTGTTGTTGATACAAATCCTTTAACTTTTGTACCACGTATGATTACATTCTTTTTTTTATATATTTATTTATATATTTACACATTATTTTTTTCATTTTTAAATTACTTTGTTATTCCCATCATGCCTCTAAAAATTAAATAAGGTAAGAAATTTATTTTTGTCATAATAATTAGCTATTATATTTTTGAAATAATTAAATAAGACAACAAATCACGTCTCCTATAATTTTTGAAATAGCTATTATATTTCAGTCATGCTCTTATATGAACGTTGGCTTTCTTTCTATTGTGGCTTTGTATTCTTGCACTATGGCAACCTATACGCAAGGTATATAAATATTCTTTTACTCTTTGCCACAGCTTTTGTTATTCACTGATTTTGTTTGTTTGTTTTATTCTTTGAAAATACAATTCCTCACTAATATACTCTCATTGTTTTACGTTTGATTTTGTTTAGCTCACTTTTTTTCTTCATATTTTTGTCGCTGTAAAGTTAATTCCCACCTAATATCTTTAATTAAGATGCAATTAACCATTAACACATGTGAATTTTGTCCCCCCAACCCACCCCCTCCCCTTCAATTCCTTTGTTTCTTGGTAGTTAATTATCTTCCTATTTTTCCCATGTTTTTGCTGTAGTGTTTTACGATTATTGGTTCTATCAATCAAATCCACACATTTCATCTAAAATCTAAATGTTTATCAAGTATAGTAGAGTATACTACTTATGTGTTAGGTACATTAAGTTATATTTACCTAGTAATTAGGTACATTATTTTACATTAAGTTTATCAAGTATAGTAGAGTATACTACTTAGGTGCATAAGGACAGAAAAAGTGGACAAATACAAAAAAAAATTGGAAAGCTGTATCGTTTGTTAAAACTGCATAACCCGGAGTTGGTCCATTACTTTGCTTTGATACGTTACTCATGGCATTTCCCTGATCTGATGCTTGGTAATAACCACCAGGCACGGTGACACATGCTGCGAATGTAACAGTTGCTACGAGTGTAGCCACTATCAGATGGGAATCTCTTGTATTTTTATTCGTTTCAGTGTCTTCGTCACCTTTGTTTTCCTTTAATTTCTGGCCATCATTATCATTTTCGCTTAGAATTCGATGGCATGATGATGCACCATTCCTTTTCAAATCATTTGCGACAAATATCTACAACACAGATCATCACCAAACTAAATAATAATTGAGGGCGAGGCGAGGGATTATTAATTTAACCATAAGTAGTACTTAAATGAAAAAGTCTACATGATGATACTGGATTGAAAAGGAATAGCCAAACCTACGACTAAATTGGTTATTTTTCCGAAATCAAATAAAATAATAATTTGCACGAGCATTCAAACCCTGTCAGTCTAAATTACTGCTCATCATTCCGATATGTACCGTCACACACAAGCAAGTTTAATGAAATATCATACCATATCTTTTAAATCATCATTAGCTTTAATGACGTCGAGAGCGTTCAAGTTTTCCTTATTGAATGCCATCTTATCAACCCTAGCATTATCAATGAAAGGAATCCAGGGGTTGAGAGGAGCATTAAGTAGATGGAGGGGTGTGTTGCCGTCAACATCCTTGGCATTTAAAAGGACGACGTTTCTAAGCCATGTATCCTTTAGAACAAATTCTATAATTAGAGGTTTATGCTTCTCCAAGGCATAATGAAGAGCATTCCGACGTCTTTGGTCGACCACTTCGCAACAATCAGGACAATGAGAAATAAGTTGTTCCATTACATTAACATGGCCTTTGGAGGCTGCAATGTGTAGAGCGGTCTTCTTATTAGCTTCGTCATCCATTTTGGTTTTTCCTTTATGCACAAGTCAAAAGTGAGCTTTCGCCCTTTTTGAGTGGATGTTGGGATTTTAATCAAAAGATGAGATGAGTGGATGAAAGACGTTTAATTCATTAGCAGATGAGATGAGTGCATCTCGCTTGGTTGGATCTCCCAAGGACCCGCCAGAAGTAACATAATTTATTGATCGAAATGAATTAAAAATGGTAAGCAAGCAATATGGCCTTTTATAATTTATAGTTGACTAAAAGGGAAAGCATTTGATATTCCGCATTCCAACCGCACCAAACCGATTATTCCATTTGATTTTATTAAGTCAATAATTCTTGGGAAATATGCTGGTGTAATCAGCTTTTAGAAATAGTGTGCTGAAATAATCAGGCTACAAATTGTATTCTAATATAATCACTTGGGGACGTGAAATGACCGAAGTGCCCTCCATATAAAAGCAGATGTATCAACCCTTTAGCGCCTCTTTCTTCTGTGTTTTCGCAGTTTGGCATAGCGGCTCTTTGTTCTCTGTTTTCGCAGTTTGGCAAAAATGGGTGAACTCTAGGTTGCGAGACATTTTGGCACTGAGCAATCCAGTTCGCAACCCATCCATAGTCACAACCCAGATGTCCTAAACTTTCGAACCCTAGTTTGACCGTAGCGAAGCCGGCGGAACGCACCGCCTCCATTGTTGACCTCCAGATCGAAGTGACTGTTGCGACTCCACGGAGAAGCGAAAGTGGCGACTTCCGGCGTCGTTGTGAACGGAGGTGAGTTCAGATATTGGTTTGGTAGTGTATGTGTATTATAAAATCGTGCATCCCCTTTTCACCACAGAAGGGCAGAAGAGCTTAAATTTTCAGTTTCAAGGCGTTATGATATGTTGAAATTCATAGTTTGTGTTATTATCTGCAGTGGGATGTATGTGGTAAACTTGAATTTTGGTTAAAATTGACGGAATGCTTGTATAATGTAGTGCAATGTGTTTGATAATGGGCAAAATAACAGCACACAGAAAAATCATATGTTAACTTTGTCTGGCCTAAAAGTAGGTTTGTTAGGGTATTTTTAAGCTGAATGTATATGCTAATGTGGGGAATTTATTGGCATTCTGGGTTTGTTTTGGTAAGAAGTAAAGTTTGTGTGTTTTGGTTTCCAATTTGGTAATTGAGCTTATACCACATAATATGTTCTGTATCACAACCTGAGCCTTTTGTTGAAGTAGTTTACATTTGTTGAAAACCCTTAGAGGTTAGAGGGTTCATATTGCTGCCATGGTATGTTTATGTGAGTTTGTGAATAACTTGGAACCCACAGCTATGTACAAAATCAGAGAAAAGACATAAATGAATAAAAGTTCCTTGTTGAAGCAGCTAGAATTTGAGTTTGGAAGATTTATAAAATGATACGTGTAGTGGTATGTTTTTATTTGTTTGAATGTATCTTTTTTAGTTTTATTCATTGCTGTAGTAATTATGTATGTTATTTGCAGAAATGGATACTGTTGGAATATTGGTATGCTACAATGGAAGTTGGGTTAAGAAGGATAACATTGAGAGTTACGAAGGTGGGGAGGCTAAAGGCATAATAGTGTCACGGAATGTAACGTTTTCCGACCTTGTTCAGCGCATTTATAAGATCATGGATGCAGATCCCACGAAATATATTGTCACACTGAAATATTCAGTTCCTGTATCCTCATCTGTCTGTAAGCATATAAGGGTTGAAGACAATGATGATGTTAAATATTTTGTAAAGTACAACACAGATGTTATGGCCTCTAAAGTAACCCCTTTAGTAGCAAGCTTGAAAAATATTGAAGGTCATGGTATTGAAGGGTGCAATGGCATTGTAAGCGTTGAGAGTAGCAATGCTCCTGCTGACTTTGTTGTGGAACAAAGAAATGTGGTAATTCGGGACAATGAAACTGAAAATGGTGGGAATGATTTTAATTGGAGTGATTGGGTTGAAGAAGTGAATTTTGAAAGTGGTGAAAACATAGTTGCTGATTTCAATGAACCTAGCAACGAAGAGGAACCGCAGTCTGCTCCGATTCTGCATCCTCATGAGGACAGCAATGTCGAACCGTCCACTGTGCAGTGTAGACAGGTGCAATCCGAACCTCCCCGACAATCAAGTTCGACTGAAATGCATACAAGTCGGGGTGATTTGAAGCATGGTCAGAGTTTGGAATATATTCAGTATGGTGGAGGCGTTTCGTGCATAAATTGGGAAGCAAATTTGAAGGTTGGCCGAGTTTATCCAAATAAGATTGCCCTTTTAAAAACCATCAGTTTAGCAGCTATTACAGGCCACTTTCGATTGAGAACTGTCCAATCTGGGAAGCATCGGTTGTGTGTTCGCTGTTGGCAGCTTCCTTGCCCTTGGAAAGTTCGGGCATATAAAGTTGGATTACATGAGTTTAAGGTTGTTAAATACGATCCACTTCATGAATGTGATATAACGTATATAAGTAGTCATCATCCTCAAGCTACGACTGAACTGCTGTCTGACTGTGTTAAGTGGAGATTTCAGGATTCGCGCAGCATTTATACAGCAGCTGATATCAAGAAAGATGTGAAACAAAATTTCGGTGTGAGCATAAGCTACTCTACAGCGTGGAGAAGCCGAGAGTTAGCTTTCAAAAGAATTAGAGGGTCTGCAGAAGAGTCGTATTCCCTTCTCCCTTCCTATTGTTATGAATTGGAGCGTACAAATCCGGGAACTTTGACATACATTGAGACTGATGCAGCTGATCACTTCTTATATTTTTTTATGGCAATTGGTGCATGCATACGAGGATTTAAGTCGTCAATGCGGCCCGTGATTGCTGTTGATGCTACTCATTTGAAGTGCAAGTATAGAGGTGTTTTGTTTGTTGCGACCGCATTTGATGGAAATCGGAACATATATCCTATTGCCTTTGGGATTGGAGATTTGGAGACGGATGCAGCTTGGGAGTGGTTTTTGAGAAAACTACATTGTGCAATTGGTGATTGCTCGAATCTCGTTGTCATATCAGATCGCAATGTTAGCATACAAAATGGGTTGCGTAGAGTTTTTCCTGGGGCAAGCCATGGTATTTGCTTTTATCACTTGAAAGGCAATATCAAAGCCTCATTTAAGTTGAAGCAGCGGGATCCGATATTGGGGTATTTTGTAAGGGCAGCTAAGTCTTATCGTCTAGCGGAGTTCAATCGTCACTTTTCCAGGATAAACAATGACCGAGTGCGAACTTATTTACTACGTGCAGGCATCCAGAAGTGGTCTCGGGCCCATTGTGATGGACGACGATATAATGTGATGACAACGAATATTGTGGAGTCCATTAATTCAGTTCTTCGGTTTGCAAGGATGCTTCCGGTGCTACACTTGATTGACGAAATTACAAATCTACTTGTCTGTTGGTTTAGGCAACGTCGAGAGTTAGCAATGAAATCTCATTCTACGTTGTGCCCTGATTTAGGGGAAATTAAGTTAAGGAAGAGGTTAGACGCTGCGTCAAGGATGAATGTGGTCAAAATCAATGACGTCGAGTATAATGTTCTGGATGGTGATTTGAACGGTCTGGTGCACTTGCAAAACCGTAGTTGTACATGCAGGAAGTTTGACTTGGAGCAACTCCCGTGCAAGCACGCTATTGCGGTATGTCGGCACTTGAAATTGAACCCCTACTCCTTTGCCTCTTCTTATTATACACGAGCTACATGGGCAGCTGCATATGCTGAATCTATTTATCCTGTACCACCTGAAGGCACATGGGTTATTCCCCAAAATGTGAAGAAGGTCAAAATCCTCCCTCCTCTTTGTAATGTTATGCCGGGCCGTCGCAAAACGCAAAGAATAGCTTCGAGAGGAGAGGAGTCCCGTCAAAAAAAATGCTCAAGGTGTGGTGTGAAGGGCCACTACCGAAGTACATGCAAACAATCTGTCCCTCTCACCAACAAGCAGCACGTTGCGTAGATGTTACACTTGTTTAGTTTCTACCTCTGTTTTGGTCAACTGCGAAGTTGATGAATAGCTTCGGTGATGCTGCAGGGATGGAAGTCGGTCCACTCAACGGTCATGTGAAGCATATGGAACAAGGTAACAAGTCCTTTGCAATGACAGCCTATTATTAGTAGAAATTGGTGAACATACAGTGCCATCACCACAGTGAAACCAGCCGTAAATTAACAATGTTCTACTGGCCAATGTGTGTTTCAGATTAGCATTTCTGTTCATTTGTTATGTACCTTTCATTTGAAATTGAATTGAATTTGATTTGGTGTTCTCTATTGTGATTGTAGTCAAATTCTCATAAATTGCTTTCCTTTCCTATTGTGATTGTATATTCACACTATCATCATGCTGCTGTCCTTTTGTTGCGTCCAAAATGAAAGCGCCTACAAGGCTAACTACAATTGCATCTCGTACATAAAACTCCTTCAAATGCAAAGCTTACGCAATTACTGTGATACTGGTAGTACTTCATGATTGCTCATTCTTCTCATCGCCACAGAACAGAATATATAGAGAATTTGTGGGAAAGTATACATGCCGTTCTTGCTGGTCAACAGATCGCGATATTATCTATAATATCGCGATCTATTCTGATGTGAACTTTAAATACAAAAGCATTATTCACTTGAAGTCACACACACAGAGGATGAAACCCTTCCCCCCTTCTAGGTTCTGAGGTACTTAACCACAACGCCAGTCATCGCTTTTTGATTACTGACTATGGACTCTGGTATTTATAAGTGTTCGAACCTGTTTTGCAAAATGAAAATTATTTACTTAGTGTTCTATATTGTTGCTCAATTATTTCATTACTTGATGTCATTCATTACAAACCTTTTTTAATCCATTTCATGTTATTGCTTCTTTAATTCGAAGGTTCATTATAAGTACTGAAATTACTATCCCTTCAAATTGTTGCTTGTTTACTTAAATGAACACCCTCCTTTTTTTTATTTCGTATTTAATTCTTCCTTTCATAAGTGTCTTTTTGTTCCACGTAAAAATTTGCATGTATGTATACTGTCCGTGGTTTGTATGGAATCGATATCTTTCCGATCTTTCCATGGATATTTTCGTGCTTCAGAACCACCAAACTTTCCTAAACCCGCCATCGTTACGACCTTTGCTACAGTCCCTCTTTACCATTACTCAATTGGAAAAGCTATATGCTATGATGCCAATCAATAAAGCATCAATACAAGCACAATATACCTACCCTACGATCACAATATGACACAATACAGTAGCAATACAAAAACAATAAAACAACAATATAAGTACTCTACGATTCCAATATGAGGCAATAATATACCAATACACAAACAATATAAGTACTTGACGCTGCCAATATGAGGGCAATAAACATACAATAAGCACACATACAGTACACAACACTTTACGTTTATACGAACTTACTAATTTGCCACTGAACCGTGAGAATAAGAGCACGGCGTAAACAAGGCACCACATTCATACAAAATTCATTTCGTGTCCACAAAATGCTTTGAACCCGTACTTACCCTGACCCAGCTACACAGATCCTACCAAAATCCAAACGATTACAGGTCCATCATTAGATCCATGTCCTTGTTCTTCTTCCTCGCTGACTGCACAAGGCTATGATCAGCCATTCCTTGGCCACAGCTATTCAGCACCTGCCAGACACCAGCAACATCTATTTGGCTCCAATTGTAGTCTGGTGAGATGACGGAAGCATAATCTCGGAACATCTCGAACCCATTGTTAAAAGATTCAACCATTTCATGGTTAAATTCTTCAGATTCAGTGAATTTTTGCACAGCATCTTTCTTTGTTTCTTCCAATTTGACCTTCAACCACTCTAACTTTGCCCTCCGACTTTTGGCTTTCATTGTTTGCTTGACTTCTCTAGCATATGCATTGTTCAGCTTGTTCGTCAAGTTTCCCATCACCTGGCCATGAATATCACATTTCGTTTCCCACCAATCCGTAGCTGCACACAAATATTGGAGGTCCTGCTTCACTTCAGCAATTTTGTCTAGTGGATCATTGTTGTCAGCCTCACTTCCAGATGACGTGGGATCGTTATTTGGAGTCCCAGGTGGAGATGGGAAAGGGACATGCCATGGCGGGTCTCCCGGGTAACTGCCATGGTCGTTCGGAGGGATTACGTCTGACATCTTCAACTATGGATGGGGAAATTGCACACATGCACCGTGCAAAACACTTAACATTAGGTAAATAAGTAGGCAGTTTTTTTTCTTCGTAACCAACAATAGGGTGAGCTTTAGTATAGGTTTGCGCTCTGCTATATATGGAGTACTATGTTTGATATGGAATTCAATGAGTACGTTAAACCCTCTTATATAGAGGAAGACAATTGTTTTATATTTATTTCAAATTGGTCATTACAGCTCTGTCTGCACCCTGTCCTCTTTGTAATTAATGAGACCATTGTAAGATGCCCATTACAGCCTTACCAAATACGAATAAAGGTATGTCAACGGTGGAATAATCGCCCGTACAAATATACACACCTAAACAACTGTGAATACACAATAAACACAACCTTACTAAAAAACTGTATACTATCTGAATATTCAAGGTCTTCACATAGTAATACTACAAATGACGACCAAGTTCCCTAATTATCCAAATAACGAAATATACATAAATGTTTATAAATTATTCAGTATTCCCTACAAATGACGATACTATATGTTGACCATATGAGAAAATTAAATAACATGAAAACAGTCATATACAGTCCCGACCCACATTTCAAGGGGAAGTTAACGTCAAGTGGGCGGAATACACATGAACTTATTTGCAAGTATCAAAATTCACAATTCGGATTTTACCGATATATTTAAAAATGGAACTCATCTACATCCGTTATTTGGAAGATAGCAACAAATAAATTCGAAACACATATACTGTCATGGTCCGTTTTTGTAAACATCTGCATTTGTACTTTGCGAATTGACCGTACTTATAAATTTGGGACATTTTGTACTTTTGGGACATTTGTACCTCATACAGGAGGGAAATTGGTCAAATAGGACAACAGGAATAATTTGCAAATACAACAACGGTCCCATACAACAAACACCAACCAATAACCTAATTACACAAACCCCAAGTGTAACGTGTTGGCCAACAATTGGAGCCAACCACTCCCGCCAAAAATTGGAGCCAACACCTCCCGCCAATAACTCCCGCCAGTTGCTGACTGTCATTTTCTGCTGCTCATTATTACCTCCCACTATTTAATTGTAACCCAGCTGCATCCACCCAACATTTCCATCACATTTACTCCGTCAAAACTCCCCTGCTTGCGCAACAAATTCAACCATATCACAATTACTTCCAGATTGGGCAAACTAATGCCCACACCAACCCGCAGTAAATACCCAACACCCATGGACCGAAACCCCACACCAAACCCAACCCTTGCCATTACTGAAGGAGGGGACAATGACACACCTGCCAAATCAGCAACAGAAGACACTGAAGACTGGGTCCAAGGACTGCAGCAATGTCGAGCCAATACCATGTTCTGGAAAAATCTCCATGCAGACATAGTGTTAAAAATTAAAGAGGGCCAAGCTAGGTGGGGTATCATAAAAAACTGCACAATTCGGGCGCGTTATGAAGCCCGGATGCATCTCCTACATATAAAGGCTGTCAGAGCTAAAATTGAAAATGCCCCTGCCACTGCAGTTCTTGTATTCAAGGAATCTGACGAAATGGCTGAGCTGAAGCAAAAACAACTGCAATCTGGTTTCGAACTATTTAGGAAGTTTGCAAAAATTGTGGATGCAGAAGGAAAGTGGGACATCACTGTGGGAGGGGTCATGAATTTAATGGGTCGCGGTCGCCGCATGTGAAGGGTATGCAACTCGAAATGTATCCACAGACGGAAGGTATGACTTGTAATATGACCATGTCAACGGTTTAGGACAAACTTTGTACAGTGGAATGGAAGTATGACTTGGCCTCTGTTTTAATTATGTGCGGATGAGGTGCCCTGTTTATGTATTTAGTTTGTATTTGGTAAGTTTGAGGGGGCCTCTTTTTTGTCATATGTATAATGTAATCGTCAGGTGCCATCTTTGTTAACATTGTATTTACTAAGTTTGTGGTCATCTTTTGTGTTGTTTTGTTTGTTTAATATGTTGTTTTATGTAAGTTCACGCTGGGATGTTATTTTATTTTGTAATCTGCCAGTTTGAGGAGGCCTTCGTATTCTGATTGTTCCTGTTGCCTTCTTTATATTAAGTATGCTGGAAGTTTTAAAACAGCAGTTGATGTAATGTGGATGCATTCATTTCAGATCCAAATTATAACGTAATTACCTTCCACATAGTTCAACTTTGTACACTTGTCAAATGACATTGCAAAACCAATACTGAGGACAGTATAAAACAAACAATTTTGAATAGCAGTACCAACCGAAAATAATGCACAGGTTACATTGCAATGCCAATATACGTGCAATATCATGCATTAGAAAACCAATAAAGAGCATTACAAGCTCAATAAAGAAGCAATAGTAAACCAATAAGTTGCACAATAACACCAATACGTCAGTAAAAAACCAATATACACACAACGAAGAATTAACATGTACTGTATTTCCAAGTGTATACCATGCCGTATGTGTTTTTTTTTTTTTTTTTTTTTTTTTTTTTTTTTTTTTTTTTTTTTTTTTTTTTTTTTTTTTTTTTTTTTTTTTTTTTTTTTTTTTTTTTTTTTTTTTTTTTTTTTTTTTTTTTTTTTTTTTTTTTTTTTTTTTTTTTTTTTTTTTTTTTTTTTTTTTTTTTTTTTTTTTTTTTTTTTTTTTTTTTTTTTTTTTTTTTTTTTTTTTTTTTTTTTTTTTTTTTTTTTTTTTTTTTTTTTTTTTTTTTTTTTTTTTTTTTTTTTTTTTTTTTTTTTTTTTTTTTTTTTTTTTTTTTTTTTTTTTTTTTTTTTTTTTTTTTTTTTTTTTTTTTTTTTTTTTTTTTTTTTTTTTTTTTTTTTTTTTTTTTTTTTTTTTTTTTTTTTTTTTTTTCCCCAAGAGAGTCGGCCAGAAATAACCCTGCCGGAAGACTTGTGTGCGAGCGATCGGGATCCAGAATGGTCACCGCAGATTCCGCTGTGGACCTCCCGAAGGATGTAGTCCCCCTGCTCCTTGGTCAGGCATTTTAAATACGGCGTCGTGTAGCCCCGTTTGTACAGGACATCGTTGATGACCGTGTATCTTGCCGATCGGTAGCGAAGTTTCCGAGCTTGGGACTTTATCGGTAGGAAGGGTTCCGGCTGTCAGGTAGGCATAGATTGGAGACATCCATGTGTCTTCGTACCGAACGGTACATACCTCAGCGGCGGTTGTACTCGGTTGGGATAATATCTCCCACCGGTACCTTCCTTCCGATCTTGTCATTTATGGCCGAGGCCAATCGTGAGAGCGCGTCGGCATGGCTATTTTCCGACCTGGGGATCTGCCGTATCTCGTAGGCCTGGAATTTTTGTAGTAGTTGGTGGGCTGCCGATAGGTAGGCTGACATGGAGGCATCCTTTGCTGCGAAGTCTGCCGTTATCTGATTTACTATGAGCTGGGAGTCGCTGTGAATGCTGATCTGCCTTGCGCTCATGCTCTGGGCTAGCCGAAGGCCAGCCAGGAGGGCCTCATATTCTGCCTCGTTATTGGAGGTTCGGAAGTTGAATCGGAGGGCGTACTCGATTTTGCTACCGTCCGGAGTGGTTAACACTAAGCCGGCACCACAGCCTTGCTGGTTTGCCGAGCCGTCCACGTGCAGGATCCAGAGAGGGAACAGAAGTGTCGAAACGTTCGGTATTCATTTTCTCTGGTGCGGTAGGGACGACGCTCGGCGATGATGGTTCCGATAAAGCAGGCGGCGTGAGCTCGGAGATGAAGTCGGCAACGGCCTGGCCTTTTTCTGCAGGCCTTGGCTTGAACTGTATGTCAAACTCTCCCAACTCGATTGCCCATTTGACCAATCGGCCCGATGTTTCCGGCTTTTGGAGCACCTGCCGAAGAGGCTGGTTCGTCAGAACTGTGATTTCGTGAGCCTGGAAGTAAGGGCGAAGTCTTCGTGCCGAGACGACCAGGGCCAGTGCTAGTTGCTCCAAGGGTGGGTACCGAAGCTCTGCGCTCTGGAGCGCCTTGCTGACATAAAAGATCGGTAGCTCCGCCTTCTCTGGCTTCCTTATCAACACTGAGCTGACGGCAGTGTTGGATACCGAAAGGTACAGGAGTAGTACCTCGCCTGGCAGCGGTTTCGATAACAGTGGTGCCTGGCTCATGTAGTTCTTCAAGTTTTGAAATGCCTGGTCGCATTCGGGAGTCCACGTTATATGATGTTTGCCCCCTTTCAAAGCTTTGAAGAACGGCACGCATTTATCGGTAGCCTTGGAGATGAAGCGTGTCAGGGCAGCGACACGTCCGGTAAGGCTCTGAATGTCCTTCTGCGTCTTCGGCGTCTCCATGTCGATTATGGCTTTTATTTTCTCGGGATTGGCCTCGATTCCCCTTTGACTGATCATGAACCCGAGAAATTTATCCGGAAGATACACCGAAGGCGCACTTCGCCGGGTTCAGCCGCATTCGGTAGTCCTTTAGAATACCGAACATGAGGGCCAAGTTTTCCAGGTGATCCCCTGCCGTTCGGCTTTTTACCAACATGTCGTCGACATATACCTCCATGATGCCGCCGATGTATTTAGCAAAAATTCGGTTGACGAGCCGTTGGTAAGTTGCCCCCGCGTTCTTCAGGCCGAAGGGCATGACATTGTAACAGTACAAACCGCGATCCGTGATGAATGCCGTATGTTCTCTATCGGCAGGGTCCATGAAGATCTGGTTGTATCCCTGAATACGCGTCCATGAAGCTGAGCAGCTCGTGCCCGGCGGTGGCATCGACGAGCTGGTCGATCCTCGGTAAGGGGAAACTGTCCTTCGGACAAGCCTTATTCAGGTCGGTATAGTCCTGACACATTCGCCATCCTCCCCTGGCCTTCCGAACCATGACTGAGTTGGCAAGCCAAACAGGGTACGTAGCTTCCCTGATAAAGCCGATGGCTTTGAGCTTGTCAACTTCGGCACGCATCGCCTCATACCGTTCGGCATCGTACGATCGGCGCTTTTGCCTGACTGGTTTGTGGGCGGGGGAGATGCTGAGCTTGTGGCTGATGACATCGGGTGATATGCCGGGCATATCGTCATAAGACCAGGCGAAGACCTCCGCATGCTGCCGTAAGAAGTCGATGAACTGCCTTCGGAGGTCGGGGTCCAGATTGGTGCCGATCTTCACCCACCGATCGGGGAATTCCTTGTTCAGGATTATGGTCTCGAGCTCCTCGGCGGGCTGTGCCATCGGCGTTGGGTTTTCCTCCCGGGGGTCGTCAATGAGTTCGTTACCGTTCGGTAGTCCCTGCAAGGTCATGGCTTCCATTGGCGGTTTGCTGGCTACCGACTTAAGGGTCGTGGCATAGCACGTCCGTGCGCTGAGCTGATCGCCCCGGATGGCTCCGGTACCGTTGCGTGTCCGGAACTTCATCAGCAACATGTGTGGGGATAGGTGGGCTTTGATCCTGGTGAGTGCCGTTCGCCCTATGATGACGTTGTATGCCGTTGGGCAGTCAACAATGAGGAATTGGTCGTAGGTCATGGTCTTCCTGGGGGCCACGCCGAAGGCGATGGGTAGACTGATGCTACCGACCGTTGTACCAGATCTCCAGAGAAACTGAGGAGAGGCGTGATTTGCCGATTGACCATGCTGTCGGCAATCCCCAGTCCTTTGAACGCATCGGCAAAGATCAGTTCGTTCATTAGAACGGTTTCGTACGTCGTGTTCAGCAGGGTGAAGACTTCCTGAGCACGATCGTGATTCGGTAGGGGCGCCCGGTGGTCGTTACGACCGTACTTCCCACGTCCCTTTCTTTGAATTTCCCTGACGGCTATCCCGGTCGTCCTTCCGTTTGTGTCCTGCCGACGGGTCGTCGGTTCGGCCTGGATAACTTTTGGTGCCGATTCCTCCTTCCGAGCCGAAGGCCCGGGTTTGGAGTTGAAGTATTCGGCCTTCGCATGGACTGCCGCCTGCTTCATTAATTCGTCATACGTGCGCCAGTTGCTACTGTGCACGAGGTACCCGGAAGTGAGAGGGCCGTAGGCCACTCTTGAAGGCGCCGTAGGCTGCCCTATCGTCCGTTTCGGGACACCTCGAGTACTCGTGACTGAAGCGCGCCGCGTATTCCCGTAGGGGTTCGTCCTCCCTTTGCCGAATCGTGTACAGATCGTCGGCAGAGTACAAACGGTCCGTCTGGATCATGAAGTGGTTGAGGAAAATCTGCTTCAGTTCGTCAAAGGAGTGTACCGTCCCTGGCTCGAGACGGTAGAACCAGTTCAGCGCAGCTCCGGTAAGGGACGAGGGAAACAGCAGACATTGTCCCCTCGTCGCTGAGGCCCTTACACCCAACTGCCGATTGGAAGGAGTGGAGGTGCGTCAGAGGGTCCTCCACACCGGTATAGAAGGGTATGCGCAGCGGCTGCACCTCCCTGTCCGGTCTGGACCTCTTGATGCGCTCGGTAAATGGTCCCGGCCGAAGTTTTCCCCAGTCAGGGACCTGGGATCGGGTTCGGTCTTCCTCCATCTTCTGGATTCTTTGGAAAAGTAATCGGATGGTGGGGGTCTCGGCTGGGGACGTCCTCGGAACCAAAGTCTTCGGAAGTTTTCCTCGGACTTGGTGATCTCGCCTTCGAATACTCCGGGGGAGCTTCCGAACGGTAGCTTGATTCGGTGTCCCTGGTGGGGATGTACTCATCATCGGATTCCTGCGCCGAATCCAAACCCTGAGCCCTCCGAAGGGGCAATTTATCCCCCAAGACCCTCATCCGGGAGTCCCTCAAGTTGGCGTTTACTCTGATTGGGGACCTATGCCGTTCGGCATCCTTCTTGTCGTTGATCCGATGACGACAATCGGTGTATACCTTCTTCGGTACGTGCGGTTGGTCCTGGGGTGCTGGGACCACCAGCTGCTTGGAAGGCGCAGGCGTTGCCTTTGCCCCCTGTTTCCCTTCCTCTGCCGACCGGGGGTCTGCTGACTCTGGGAAGATTCGGTGGTCCGAACGTTTTGTGTTTCCTGCTGATTAAGCAAACCGTTGGGTTTCGTCCACTTTGGACGAAAGGAGATTGTTACGTTCTTGGAGTTTAGCCATCTCCTTTCGGAGGGAAGTCATCTGAGCCAGAAGCTCCGCTTCGACCGTGGTCTGAAGCGCAGGAGGATTACCGAAGGGGAGTGCTAGGGTGCAGCGCGGGGCTTGCTCCACTTGGCATACCGTACGGTAATCCATCCTCTGATAGGAACTGTGGTCCTGAAGTGGTTCCCATTTGTTTTGTTTAGGAATTGTAGGTTGATTTTATCGTTTCCCACAGACGGCGCCAAACTGTTGACGCAGAAAAATGGTTCGGCACTTTCCCGCGCAACTTAGTGATTAAGTCTCTTCGGTATCTGATGTCCTCGGTAGGGTGTGCGATCTGTAAGATAGCAAACACACGGTAAGTCCTAGGGCACCGGTGTGGTACCGGCCGAAGGCTCTCCGATGCTTAAGTAAGTACGGATTTAGTAAGTTTGAACTACAGATCAATAGGCAGTATGCCGTAAGTTCTGATTGATTACCTTCAAGCTGGGACGGACGTCCTCTTTTATAGGCCTTGGGAGGTGTGCAATTTGTTTAGAGTTTCGATGTGGGACTCTGAGGTCAGTTGTGAGACCGCCACGCGTCAAGGGAGGGCGAGGTTTCCCTAATGTTGGGATCGGTAGGTTCGGTGCCGAAGGCACTAGTAGCCCTGGTTTGGTCCACGTGTTTGATATTCATTGGCTGTTCATTTTGGTATAAACAGGAGGTGCAGAAATTATTGAGTGCCAGAAAGCTTACAAAAGCTGATGATTCACACCCACGTTCTGTGCTTCAAAGTTTGCCGACAAAGAAAAATCTCAAGCCAGACAATCCACGAAAATTACTAAACCAGCACTCCTCTCTGCAGCAAATTGCAAAAAAAACCATAAAGGGTTCTCACTCGGTATGATCGTCTTTCCCAAAAGATCTCAGTCTGCAATCAAGTGAATAAAAAACACCGAAGCATCAGACCCTTGTTACCAAGAGACAAGGAGGAAGCAGAGAATTCAAAGTTGTCTTTAGACCCAAAAAAATACAGACAAGTCTTCAAGGAAATGATGAAAATAAAATAAAGATCCCAAAAGGAAAAGGAGCTGGTTTTTCTTTCTCTCAACACCAAAGGCCAGACCGCAAAGAAAAGAAAAAGAGAAACAAAATTCAAAGGAGAAGAAGAAAGACTTGCCATATGCAAAAGGAGAAATCAAAGCTAAAATGGATGCACAGCTTGCTGCCGGCAACTTTTCTTCAAACCAAGATTTGGTCTTTAGACCAAAAAAATGAAGAAATTCGTTGCTCAAAGAAAGTCCTCCTGCCATGCCCAAGTTTGAAGAAGAAAGCAACAAAAAAACAAGGAGTTCCGTATTACTGAAAGAAACCAAAAACAAAACAAAGAAGAAAAAGCCAAAAAGGGCCACAGAAAAGGAAAAGCACCTTTGTACTTGACAAACAGACGTTGTTGCCTTTAAGCTCCCATATCTCCATTGGGATACGTGGTATAAGTCTGCCTTTTAAGTTCCCGATACTTCCAATTAATATTTTAAATGGTTTATGTAGTCTAACTCTGACAGAAAGGAGCACAGGAAAAGGTCTTGCTTGGGTTTTGGCGTCTCAAAGCAGATCAGTAGTTGAAGGAATATATAATTTGGTCCAGTTTGAATTAATTTGAACTACTCCAGATAAAGAAGGGAGTGACTCAGTTTAGATTAATCTCTACTACTCCAAATAGATATCAGTTTCAAATGCAGCTGGCTCTCAAAGCTGTTCTGACATGGACTCTTTGTTTATGGACCAACTAGTATAATTGTTAAGGTTCGAAAACAAATTGATGGGTTGTCAAAACAAATTACTCATTAACTCTCAAAAGTCCAAAGTATTTTATGGGTGGTCCAAATAAATTATGTGGTTAATGGATTTTTTTTTATAAATCCTTAAAATCATATGTAATTAAATTAATGGGTTCATTAAAATGCCTTTTAATTTTCTTTGGACATTAACAATAAAAATGGTACAAGCCATTCCAAATTTTCTCATGGGTCACCTACCCTTCAAATTTTAATGAGATCAAATTCAAATATCTTAAATATACAAATTCTTTCAAGGGGTCATTCATTCTTTGAAAGTCCAATCAAATATTTCTGAACTACGTCCGGTTTGATTCCTCCAAGGATACGTAGGCAATTTGGAAATTCAATCCAAATACAACCGCAAGTCCAAATAGAATCTCTGGTGTCCCTTAACCAAATTCGTCCCAAACACTTTTCCAACCACAAAATCAAATTGAATCCCTAATCCAACCACATTCATCCAAATTCCATAAAAGATTTCTCATACTACAAATTATTTCAAGGGGTCATTCATTCCTTGAATGTCCAATTAAATTATCTTGAGAACTACAAAAGGCTTGATCCCCGAAATGGGGTATGTAGGCAGTCTAGGGTTCCCTGGATGCAGCTGTAACATCAAATCAAATTCCTTTATTTATTTCATTCTTCATATTGGAATCAAAGGGTTTTCTCTTTTCAAAGAGATTATAATTAGATTTTTTTTTTTTTTTTTTTTTTTTTTTATTATGGGTTGTACTCAATTAAAAATAAAAAACTCTTATTTGTAAATAAGAGTGAGATTATGTTGGGTGAATTTTTAATTTCTTTATTACACTTTTTATCTAACAATAGCGTTTGACAAGTCCAAGTATCGTTTCCACGAGGATTTCAAATTAATCTAATATTCGAATACCTAAATAAAATCTAACTGATACGCAAGTGAATTTGTAGAGATTGTTGTTGTGAAAGTTTATGAAACAAATAAGAAATTAATAAAAACAATTGAGAATAAAAAGGTTGAATTTTAAGGTTGAAAAACAATGATGAAGGTCTAGGGTTTCGAAATCAACCACAAGCAATTCAAGTTAGATTTCAATGCATTCAACAGATTCTTTGAATTCTTTAGATGATAATTCTCGTATGTAAGTCCTTTTCAGGCACTCAGACCATAGTTTTCCTTAAGTGTAAGATTCTTTTCTAGTTCAGACAAAGATCATATATTCAATCCTGCAATCTATCCTTGTTAAGGCATAAATTTAAAGAAAAATTAGGTATTAGATATAATTAGCTTTACTCATTAGTATTTGAGACATTGGGTATTTTAGTTTGGGTTTTAATATTTAGGAAAGAATTGTTATTTTGGATTAAGCCAAAGAGGAGGCCCAGATTCATTGGGCCTATCTAAATTAGAGAGGTAAAATACAATTTTACCCTTTTTAAAAAATACTTCAGCTGTGACATTCTTACTACCTTTAGCTGACGATAAAACCTAGAAGACTACAGGGATTTAGTACCTGAATAACTAAAGCTGTTAGAGGCAAAAATGGCGAACTGGCAGTAGCTCCTGCAGAAAAAGCTTGTGCTAGCCTCTCAAAATCACTAGTTATCTGTGCATCATCAAATCATGTACTGGAAACCTATAAACAGAGATGAGTGTGAAAAATGAAATTACAGTTGGGTCGTTTCTCAATATTCAATCAGATTTTTCTTCCAACTCTGACTGAATTTTATAGTTTACTATTTAATTTTCTAACCATAAAAGAAGGAGAAGGGAGGAAGAAAGGAAATTGTCAATCTTGATGCAAGTTCAGACACTAACCTGAACAATAAGCATGACCTCTGCACTATTGGCCTCACAATTTTCAGCATCATAGGCTATGCCTGGTCTCCTTCCTTCTCGAACCTAAGAAGACAAATCATGAGACAGCAAGCTCAATAACTGGGACAAAAATATTGCTTCAATAAAATTAATTTTTGTTTTTGAAGTTGTTTTTGTTTTTGTTGTTAACATAATTGATATCTACATTGTATTTTTGTTACAATTTTTGTGTGAAAAAGTATTGAAATAATTTTTTTAAAATTTTAAAAACCATTGATTGTTTATATAAATAGTATAACTGAATAAATATTACAAAATTAAGTTTGGTGTAGTGGTTTGTGAGTGAGCCTTCCTCTTTTGAGGGTAAAGGTTCGAGTCCCTTCAATGATACAAATTTTTTTTTATTATAAAAAAGGTGAATAAAGGGCAATGGAGTTGGTCCCTGCAGACGGTGGCAGGCGGGTGGCGGTGGCGGTGGTGGCCGGTGGTGGTTGGCTAGATATGGACATGTGGCATAGTATGCTTGCTTTAGAAGGAGTGACATTTTGTGTAATTTTAATATTTTTTAATGGTATTTTTGTAAAATTAAGTACTACATTTTGGTCTTTGGCCTTATGCTAATTAAATGAAATTGTATTCCTATTTTCCAAATTAGTAAATTGTATTGTGTTTTAAAACTAAAGCTTCCTTTATTTTTCTAGTCATCATTAGTGCAGATGCAGTGTGTGATTTATAATATTTAAATTGCTTATACTTACAATTAATTAATAACTCAAGCATGATGAATATGATCAAGTGTTATCCCTTTCCCCTTGTAAAAGGGAAATGTGGATGTTGACATTTAAGGGTCATGGGCTTTTTCCCATATGCCATTGAGGAGAAGCTTGACATTTGCCAGAATAAATGGGGCGTCCTAATTTCCCATACATCAGTCAGTGTGGGAAAGAGTCAAAACAAGGAAATATATTGTTGGAACAAATACAAATATAAAATAAAATTGTACGAATTTAATTTTGTGCGTGGTGTGGTATGGTCCACTACAGGACAACTATGGGTCGATTCGGTCATTTTTTTGTTCTAATGTTTTCTTAATGGGCTATTTTTTTGGGCCTCTTGTTCTATACTTTGGGTCTGTTTTATAGGGCTTTTGTCCACCTGTTTTTTTATGAAAAATAAAAAATAAAAAATAAAAACCACAAAGGGTTTTCATTATTTTTCTAGAATTTTTTTATTCACACCAAAAAAAAACCTTCGTATAGAGGGCGTTGACATGATTAAATTTATTGAAATTTCTTTCTATACAATGGTGTTGCCTTGCTCATCACCATATAATCCGAAAAATCTCAAAAAGACTAACAAAGTTTCAAGGATGGAACAAATATGAATTGAGGCAGCCAAGGAAAAGCCGAAACTCTCACACTTTGATTAAAAACTTGGATTAAATTAACATGAGTTGAAATACAAGACTAATCTACAGCCTCGCTACTACTCATTTGGAGGTGGCAGCTGCTGAATTGGGCGGCCTCCCTTTGGAGGAGGTGGTGGACTTGGTAAGTGGCCCAGTTTCCTTAACTTGGCATTTGTAAAAAGCACACGCTATAAGAATTCTACAGTGAGGGCCTTATATATAACATGTCAAGAAACCCCACACACACGAGAGAGACTTTTCATGTAACGGGAATAATACTCTTTCGCTATTGCTGTTGCAACCAAATTTTTTCTCCACACACATATATATTGTTAATTGATCATAATATTCAAGCTCAATAAAGGGCTCTACATGGAAATTACCTGCACGTACTTGAGCGGTCTGCACGGCAAAGGCGATCAACGCAATTAACCCAAGAAGAAACAGAGTTTTGAACAAGGAAGAGACCATCTTCATTAATTTATATCAACTTTGCAATAATGATAGAGTGAACGGATGTCTCGTCTTGAGATCATCTATATAGTATAGTGTCATGACAAACACCTAGAAAAAAACTCTTTCGTTTTTTATTTGTATTTAATCTTAGTCAACTAGAGGAATTATTTTTAAAATTGAATCTTATTTTCAACATCTTCTTCCCAAAGAAAATAATAAAATAGAAACTATTCATATGTGATAAAGTTTGAAGTCAAACCATATTCTAAATATGGATAAGTGTTAGGTGACTGAATGAAACTTCATAGATCATTCATTATAATATAATTGTTTACCATCATTTAACAATGCAAGGCCAAACTCATTCCTTTAATTTTTTTTAAGAAATCAAGCATGTGAACCCATCTAATGCCATCATTTGCACTCACTCGCCTTCTTTCAAAGAAGTTTATCACATTCTTCCACAGATTTAAAAACCTTAAGCTTGAAGTCATCAAAACCTTGTATTTGTTCTTTTCTGTTTTTCGCCGTCACTCTTTTTCTGCGTTCGGCATTGGCAGGTGACCCTCCACAGGCCAAACAGGAGACTCTTTTTTTCTTCAAAGAAGTTATATACAATGCTACTTTTCCCAGGAGGCTCTGTATATCAAGACCATCTGACTTAATGTATCAATACAAAATCATGGATGATATTTGTGTATACAAGTCACACCAGAAGTGGGAAAATTTATATTAACTGTATTATTAAGCTGCTTCAGCAAGTTCTTGCAATTGTGATACTCATGGTTAACAGCTGAAACTATTTCTGGAGATACTTGTCCATTAGATGGTGTTGCTTGCTCTGCAAAGTCTGCGTGGTTCGAAATATAGCTGCCTTGACTTTCTGGCCAGTTGTTGTTTGGTGAAGCAGCAGCATTAACTTCACCACCAGCACCAGCGATGCCATCTCTGTGTTGAGGGCTCTTAAACATACAAGAGCTGAGTTCTTTCTCGTTGAACATCTTGAACATGGCTCGAATCCTTCTCCATCCAGAGGCTCTTGAATCATCAGGGTGCATCAAGATGTGCCTATGCTTGTGAAGGAAGGAAGCTGCACATATGATGAGAGCTAGTATTGAAGCCACGCCGGCAATGAGGAAGAGGCCCCAAAAGCTAGCAAGGCCAAGACTGTAGCTAGCCACCCTTGGGTTTGAGTTATCTACACAATTCTTTTCTACACTATACCATTTGTTTTCAATGTTCATTATCACCTCTCCTTGGGTCACGTTTAGGACTGCCTGTGAAAGATCGGGTATAAGAGGAGAAAGCTTTGGAAAGGCCTGCAGGAAGTCACCTCAGAGAATTACTACATCAAAAAATTCAAACATGCAACTATGAGAAATACATTAGCCAATTACTGTGTGTACTAGGAGAGAGATCTTACGAAACCAAATCCAGCGGCTTTAAAGAGGGGGTCCGATCATGGTATATTTGGTATTTTGCAAGAAAAAGCTTCATGCTGGGGGTTTCATCAACAGCAGCAACAATACCACCATTTGCACTTCCTTTTGAAAGAAGTTCATCACACTCTTCAAAAGATCGAAACATCTTTATCTTGGAATCATCAAAACCTACTTGTTTCAAGAGTTCGTTGATGTAAGTATTCTCTGCGAAGCCCACGTTATCCCTGTTCCTTAGAACATCCTTTATATCTGAAACAGTAGGCTGGAGTTGCTGGACAGTTAATAGTGACGCTAGACTAGCCGTGTAACTTTGAGTCAGTATTAGCATCACAAATCTGGCCAAGTTACTAACCACTCTCTCTCCTGTAAAGTGCAGATTCGAGACGTACAGAAAAGAAAATTGTTAAAGTTATTATCAATATGACTTATTGAACAACTTTAATTTGATACTTGAAATCTTTTCTTTTAAAAATGAAAGAGATGATGGAGAATTACAGTGTGTAAAAACCATGGTTGAGAAAGAGAACCAGACACTGGTGCCAACTTGATGTGATGGAGTGCCACGGAAGTCTTCATTGATTCAATGCTCCAGAACCCAAACCACAAAACCAATAAAGAAGAAGAAACAAGAAGTTGTTAGCCAAAGGTCCCATGTCAAAGGCTTCAAGAAAACCCACGCATTTTGGTTTCTCATGTCTATGACTGGCACAACCATTACTACACCAGATTCTGTGTATGGCATGGTAAAGTCTACATACAATGACCTATTTCCTCTAAATGTTGTATCTCCCACCACAGCATCAAAGTTCTGCAGTAAATTAATTTGACATACATGTTAATCATTTTCAGCATACAAATTAAGAAACTGAATCAAAAGTTAAATCAGAAAATTACATATGTGGATGAAGTCCATAATGAAAAACAAAGTATTTTACCCTAAGATATATATTTGGTAGACCAAATCATTGTAAGTGCCACCACTGGTTCCATCAGACTTTGCAAAAATGAAATCATAAGGTAGAGCATACGGTAACATTTCCACCGAAGCCTTAAAAACATCTATACCGAACCCAGTCACATCTGTCATGTTAGTGCTAGGATCCTTCGTTACCTTATCCAACTCCGTAAAACCATCCTTCACAGGAACTCCTACTCTCAACTTCTTGCCGTTTGTTGGGTTCTCCCATCCTCTTTTGACTTGGTAATTATGCTTTCCTAGTTTGCCTTCAATTGTCTTTGATGAGTTGGCATCCAAAATCCTACTAAATATAGAACCAGGCCTTAGAAAATAACTCCACATCCTTGTAGACACTTCCCAAACACAATTGATATAAATTGGACTCCAACGGTTGGACTTCAAAAGGATTATTTTGCAAAACCCACAAAACACATTCTGCATGAACTGTCTGTACTAAAATGGCCACAACTCTCTCCACACACGTCCGAATCACGACCCGTAAAATTCTACAGAAAGCTAACATCCGTATCTTTCCAACCATACAACGATCAACGTCTGGTTCGCTCTGAGGAAGTACAGTATATTTTTTCAAGTTGACTGATCTGCACAGGAAATTCTGCTCCTAGGATTTCACATATTTCAATCTCAAAATTGCTCATTTTGCTTGCTTTTCCATCTTTACTTTTCAAACCTAGTAAAACACAAAACTAGGTAAAAATGGACTAAACTCACTCAAGAATATAGCGAAAATCTAAGAGAAAGATAATTGTTGTATCAATTCGGACTTGCTCAACGCTACCAACTGATAAAGTTCATAACATGACATGAGTAATATCTTCAACTTGGTGAATCTGCCTTCAGGGGCACACAAGCATTACTTAGGGTTATCATTTGGATCGCAGCCTACGAGCTGAAGTGGATAGCTCGATGTCCGATGGGTCAAAGTCCGGCCCAATCTAATACTTAGGTTCTCTCGGTCCGGCCCTTTCTAAGGTTAGGTAGGGCTTGGGCGTACGTTTTAAAACCTCCGGCCCGACAAGGCCCTCTCATGCCCAGCTGGCCCCGAGTAGGCCTGCTTATTGCCTTATTTTTATATTACTCAAATACTTAAGTTTACAATGTAAATAAGAAAGTACCCCCCATTTGGATTCAATTAAAAATATAGCTTGTCAGAGAGAGAACAAGGTACTCGTCGTCGCGGTCGTCGGAGGGCGTGGAGACGCGAGGAGCCACGACACGTTGCTGATGGATTTCTCGAGTAGATGTGAGGTCTTGGGGAAAGCGCCGGCGAGGATGATGGTGAAGACGAGCTTCATGAGATCGTTGGTGAAGGTTTGCTTCGTCTCATTGATGTTGCAGTGCATGGGGTGCTCGTAGAGCTCATGGGTCGCACTTGTCTCCTAGAGGTAGAGGCCGTCTTGGATTTGAGCTCAACAGAGTCTTTCTTGAATGAATGTGCCTCATTGGCTAGAAAGGGAGAAAGAGAAGAAGGGGAAGAGAGGGGTGGGGAGGGGATGCAGTTGGGTTGGTAGGGGAGAGTTGGGGATGGGAAAGCGGCTAAGGTTAGGTTGGTGCTACTGAGGGAGGTTAGGAAATTGATTTTTTAATTTTGTAATTGTGTAATTATGGTATGTAATTGTTTTTTATTTTACTTTTTAAGGTAAATAAATGTTTTATTAGTTTTTTTGTCATGCCGGATGTGTGGGATCCACTTTGCCTTATCAAATTGGTGGGTAAATAGCCCATGTGTTTAAAATTACAAAAATACCCCTGCCATGTCAATAATTTTAGGGTTAATCGTTTTATTAGTCCCTGAATTTTAACCTGATTTGCATTTCAGTATCTCAATTTCCAAAATGGTTCACGTGGTCCTTTAACTTTAGTTTCGTTTAGACAACTAGTCTCACCGTTACTTCTGTCAATTTTGTTGGTTATATTTAGGGGTAGATGGGTCTTTTCATGTTGGTTTTATTATTCCCCTTCTGCAACACGCCTTCCCTTTGAAATAGACCTTGCTTTTGAACCATTTCATCATTTTTATAGTAGAAGGAGCAATACTCTTTACGGCGAGACTATAATGCGGAGATTATGTGCGGAGGTTATTTGGGGGGGCTACTTACTGGGCCGTTAGATTGATCAAATGGCTAATGTTAGTATCCTCTTTATGCTACAACCGGGTTGGCATTACCCGTTGAGCAATGCTATTCACAATCGAAGTACTCAATGTATTCTCCTCTCTTTTTTTAAATTATTGTTTCTCTACCTTCTTGTCTCTATCTCTCTCCCTTTCTTTTTTTTTAATTAGTTTTTCTCTTTTCTCTCAGTTGCCTCCCTCTTTCTTTTAGAGCAACTCCACTCATTTTCCCTTAGCCATGGCAAGGGGGAAGATAGGGCAGCCACTATTTATGTGAATAGTGGTTGCCCTTGCAAATAGTATTTTGTGTTTCCACCAGTTGCCATGGCTAAGGGCAGTTACTATTCATTTTTTTGTTTTATTCACAAATTTTTTTACCTCAATAATTAATTTGGATAATATTTTCGAATAAGATTTCCCGGTTCCTACTTGTCAAGACTATTCATAATCGGATAAGATTTTTGGGTTCAAATTTCGGATGAATTTCAAAATTCAAAATTCAGATAAATTTTTGGGTTCAAATTTCGGATGAATTTCAAAATTCAAATTTAAGATAAATTTGGGTTCAAATTTCGGATGAATTTCAAAATTCAAAATTCAGATAAATTTGGGTTCAAATTTCGGATGAATTTCAAATTTCAGATAAGATTTTCATCCAATCAAATCAAGCCATGTGACATCTCTACCTTGCCAATTTTTTGTATAAAACTAGAGGCTCAGCTCATACCTCTCACACCACATCTTTCTATATTTTCATTTCTTAGACTTTAAAATTCATACTCCATTAATTCTCAATGGAAGAATATAGGAGATGCTTGGAGAGGCAAAGCGAGAAAGAAATGAGAGAAACCGTAGAGCCGATGAAATCAATGAGTTGCAGAGACAAGTCGATGAACAAGTTCTCATAGCAGTGGCAATGGAAGAGGAAGAGAACCAAGGTCGCAGCCGTGGTACACAAGTCGGCCGTCGCCGGAATGTGGATAGACATAGGCATACTCGGGGTAAGAATCTTTTGAAAGATTATTTTCTCCCAACTGCTTTGTACTCTGATGTTGATTTTCGAAGGCGATTTAGAATGCAACCGCATTTGTTCAATAAAGTCATGCATGATATTTGCAATTATGATGCATACTTTGTTCAAAAGTGTGATGCTGCTGGGGTTTTGGGGCTTCTTTCGGAGCAAAAGCTTACAGTTGTTATACGAATGTTGGCGTATAGAGCATCTGCTGATCAGGTGGATGAGATTGCCCGAATGGGGAAGTCCACTACGTTGGAGGCTTTGGTAAGATTTTGTGATGCAGTTGAAAATCTGTACACTAGGGACCACCTTCGTAGACCTACTCCCAGGGATCTCCAACGGCTTCTACAAAAAGCCGAAGCTCGAGGATTTCCAGGAATGATTGGTAGCATCGACTGCATGCACTGGCAATGGAAGAATTGCCCAACTGCCTTGCAAGGTGATTACGAAAATAGAAAAGGCCAAAAAAGTATCATATTGGAAGCTGTTGCTGGCTTCAACACATGGGTTCGGCATACCTTCTTCAAAGTTGCCGGATCCCAAAATGACCTCAACGCCTGGGTCAATTTCCGGTCTTCAACGAGGTTTTGGGAGGCCAAGGCCCCAATATCACCTTGTTTGGGCCTAAAAATTGACACACCCAACCCAGCGAAAATGAGGCCCAGAATAAAGCTGCAAAAATCAAAGGAAGATGGAAGCCCAAAAACCAGAAGAGCCCAGCCCAAAGCTTATCAAAGCAAACAAGGCTAATCTGGGCCTCACAGGCCCGATGTGATAAGAAGGGGGAGCCCAGAAACAGGAACAATCCCACGTGACATCTCTGGGATAAGGAAAAGTCAGCAATGGCAACTGTCATAGAAGAAGTGATTGAAAGAGAAGGTAATTCTCCCAAGGAGATAAGCAAGTTACAATCTCAGAGAATGATAAGCAGGAAAGCAGGGAGCTGTCCAGAAAAGAAGTCAAACTAACCATCACGGGTGAAATCTCACAAGGGGCAGTTGAAATTGGGAAAGAGATTAGGTTCTTTTTCAAGAAAAACAGGGAAGTGATTGCCTATTTGAGAGCCTATCTGCCAAAACTGATGAAATCCTATTTTCTTTCTTTCCATTAAAGAAGAAAAAGGGGGAGATATCTTTTTGCCGCCCAATATTAAACAGAATCACCCTACTCTAGAAAAACATTTTACTATAAATACAAGAAGGAGTGAACAGGGTAAGGGAGACACACAAAAAATTCATCATCCAATCAAACAAAAATCTTATACAAGGAAACCATCAGTCAAATAGACGACTCAAAATCAACCAACAAGCCCACTTGAATTTCAAGTAAAACCAGCTTCAGATCAGAATTCCCAAGGCTCAGACTTAAGAAATAAGTCATTCAAAACGAGATTTCTCTCGTTACAAATTTGGTTCAGCAAAAACCAAGACAGGTAGAGCTTGAGTTCTCTCCAAATATGGAAAACCTCAACAAAATTCACAATGCAGTCTCTAGCCCACTGATGTCCTCAAAAACAGTCACTTCTGCCCGTGCAGACTGAGGAAACCGCAGTTCTGCCCACTCAGAAGCTTCACAAAAGCTTAAGGTACATTGAAGCTCTGCCAGAATCAACCTTTGGTATCGATTTATAGTTGAAACCTGGCAGTCAAAGTTGTCAACGGTCCAGTCCAGCCCAGGCATTTCCAGTCCAGCCCAGAACAGAACCTTCCATCTTGACAGAAATGGAGTTCCAGCTGTATCTTCATCTCTTTAGCATGAGTATTTATTGTTATAGTTTTGTAAAAGGCAGTTCCGCCTAAAAACAGTTTAAATTCCATCAACCATTCTGGCCAGAACAACCTCTTTATACTGAGATAAATTGTTAAAGTCCTCACCAGTCTGAGGCAAGAAAAGAACTTACTTGGGAGATATTCCTCACCCAAATTCACAATCGTTTGTTTGCAGAAATCAGTAACTTGGGGCGCAAGTTATCCATTCCAAATTAAGTCTGCTAGAATTTTTATTACTAGCAGTGGCACGCTCGCACACCAAAGAAAGCTGACTTGTTGACCAGTCTATGGTTCTCAAGGCAGTGGGGAACTTTGCCCTTCCATCATAGGAGTAAACCCAAAACGGGTGAACACACCTATCAAGTCAACAATACAGTCTACCAGACGGGGTATTATCTAGTTGACGACATCTACCCTAGGTAGACCACATTTGTCAAATCCATTCCGAATCCCCGATCCCAGAAGCAAAAATTATTTGCTACCTATTAAGAAGGATACAGGAAAGATGTCGAAAGATGTTTTGGCATCTTTCAAGCTCGGTGATTGATTATTCGAGGTGCGGCCCATATGTTTGATAAGGAGATCCTCAGAAGCATTATGATGACTTGCATCATCCTCCATAATATGATTGTGGAGGATGAGTACGATTATGATGCTTTAGAGGTCTACGAACTGGATCCAATGAACACGGTCTTGACCCGGATTTATGAAAGGCCTATAGGGCCAAATGGAGAACTGTTTGAGCTGGAACCGTTGGTGAAGGACGGTCATTTCATGACCCGGATAATAGATCAATATTTAGAGATGCAATCTTCGTATATTCATGAAATGCGTCAACTTGACTTGATGGAGCATCTATAGGCGGTTAAAGGCAATGAAGATGAATGATGGAGCATAGATGCTTTGGTTATGTTTTATTTAGTTATGGTTTGGTTGTGTTGTTTTTTATTTATTATGGTTTGGTTGTGGTTTTTTTTATTTTATTATTGTGCCTTGTTTGTAATTTTTTTTTAATTTTAATTATGTTTTGTTTGATGTATGGAATATGTTGAATAAAAAGGTCTTTTATTGAATGCTTTGTTTATTAAATAAAGAAATCCAATACAAGTCATTAAGAATTACTACTACTAAAATAAAATACATGAAGTACAACAACTTTAATAGAAAACATGAAAAATAAAAATACATAAAAGGTATGCCAACTAATTTAATGGTTTTGATCATTTAACCAATTCGTGTTGCTAGGCCCATCATCCTGGAAAAGTCTTCTTCTCATAACATCCCTTCGTTCTAGCTTCCAATATTGTTTTGTTTCAGGGGATATATGGCTTGTATCCATCGCCATGGTTTCCCGATCCGTCTTCCGCATATCTTTTTTGAGCAAATACTCCTTTTCTCGTGCACACTCAGCTTGAATTGCCACCTCCATATCTTGGCGTTTCTGCTCCATTTCAATTCTTATGATGTTCTGCCTTGCAATTTCCTCCAAAAACTTTGAATTATTATTGCTTGAATTACCCGCTTTCTTTGCCTTCGCAGCCTTTCGGCCAATGGGCCTCAGCTCCTTTTCGATGGGTGAGTCTTCACTCATAAGGGAATCGAGAGGTGAATCCGATGTCGTTGAATCACGGAGTGGCGTCTCGTTTAACACAACGGCGGGACCCGTGGGAATAATTATGAAGCGTTTACAATATTTCACCACCTCCCAACATTCATGATGGTTGAAACTTTTTTTGCCACCCCCGGTTGCACTGAACCACATCTGTGCTTGAATCATCTATTTAACAAAAAAAATGGAAATGCAAGAAATATTTAAAATATATTGGATATGCAAGTAACAAAAAATTAAATTATAGAAATGCAATTAACCTTACAAATAAATTAGAAGTGCAAGAAATATGAAGAAACAATTGGAAATGCAAGAAATATTAACAACATATTGAAAATGCAAGAAATATTAACAAAATATTGAAAATGCAAGAAATATTAACAAAATATTGAAAATGCAATAAATATTAACAACATATATATAATAGGACATTAAACTTAATAAAACGAAAATTATAAAATACTTACCTCGTTAGTACGATTTTCCCCGCTTTTATAGTTGTTCATCGCTTTTGCCAAGGCATCTCTCCATTTTGCCAACTCTTTGTTGAGAATTTTCCACCTACTCGACAATGCCATTTTCGTACGAGTTGACCCAAGAATTTTTTCGCAAAATTCGGCATGAATTTTTTTCCACATATGGAAAAATTTCATCTCATTGCCTGTCACGGGACAATGACAAACTTGGAGCCAAGCCTCACACAAAGAAACATCTTCCATAGTGCTCCACGCCCCTCCGGTTTCTATAAAAGAAGCCATAAAAATAATGGTATAAAAATACAAGGTGAAAGAGAGGTAATAGTAGAAGTAGAATAAAATGTATGAGGATTGGTGTTGAAAGTGAAGGGTGTTTATAGATATTTATAGGAAAAAAAAATAGAATTGTTTAGTATTTTTTTAAACAAATTTCGATTTTTTTTTATATAATTTTATTGCTGGAAAAACGACAGCCGTTGGATGAAGCTTGTAGAAGCAAATCTGAGCGCTGGGGGCGTGACACGTGGCTTCCAACCGTTGGAGCTGCGTCGCGTTAACGTCAGCGCACGCTGGTTTAAATTTTTTTTTACCGTTGGCGCGTGCAATGGTAAAAAAAATTCAACCCCGAGTGCTCGACGTCAGCCTGACGTCGAGCGTGACATCACCCCTCGCGTTTTGGACATCGGGCTGAAGCTACTTTCGGGCCAGACCGAGTTGGTGGGTCCCACACCTCCTCCGGACCTGGGCTGACTGCTGGAAACAGCTCTTTTTTTTTCCCCCAGCCTCGGGCTGGGCTGACCGCTGGACTTGCTCTTATTATTCTTCTCTCTGTTGCCTTCCTCCTCCTGCTTCTTCTCCTTCTTAACAAACGGGGCTAAGCACAGATAACAACTAAACACAAATCAATCTAGGCTAGTTATTTTATTTCCTCCGCCAGTTATTTTCTTCATTTTCCCTCTCCTTCCTCATATTTCTCTTGTTTTTTCCATTCGTTTCTCCACACAAAAATTCTGCATTTCTCTCATTTTCTCTATGACGCTGCTGATTTAGATCTACTAGGAATTGAGTTTTTGTGTTTATGATTCCCACAGTTTCTGATTCCAGCTTAATAAGTAAAAATAAATGATTTTTTGTTTTGAGGGAAGAACAACTCCAATATTTGGCCTTTACCCAAATTTTCACACACACATACCCAGAGTTTGATGAAGACAGATGGAGAGAAGAACAGATGGAGAGAGAAAGAGAGAGAGAGAGAGAGAGAGAGAGTTATTCGAGAGGGAGTGAGAGAATTAAAAAAAGAAAGAGAGTTTCAAGTTCCAATGGTGATATGGGAGTTCATCTCTTTGATAATGCCCTTGAGTGATTGGTTTCAACTCTCGCAGATGATATTGCTGGGGTTCACCCGTCTAGTCTGTATTAATCTTGTTTTAAGTGTTGTTTCTGGGGCTTGGTTCCCTTTAGCTCATAAAAAAGAAAAGAGAGAGAGAGAGAGAGAGAGAGAGAGAGAGAGAGAGAGAGAGAGAGAGAGAGAGAGAGAGAGAGAGAGAGAGGAGAGAGAGAGAGAGAGAGAGAGGCAAGAAGAAAGAGAACCAATAATTAAAAAATTAAAAAGAAAAAAAGAAAAAAAAAGAGAATACATTTGGGAACGTATACACGTGTATAGCAAGTACTTTGACAAGTAAATAGCATTGCTCTTACCCGTTTTAAAAAAACCCAACTCCTGCAATCAAGGGTGCGTTTCCCAAGTGAACGCATTCCAAGGTGAGTCAGAATGAAGATTTAAAAACAAAAACTACATTTAGAAAATTGAAAGGAAGAAAAGTTATTTCCCCCCCTCTAAAATTCGTCCTTTTCTCCTTCCTCCCCTCCCATCAGCTGAGAACCATAGCCAACATTCCTCCAAGCTATCCAAGAAAAACCCGTCAATAATGAAATCTTAGAAATAAAAGAAAAGAGAGAAATTGATTAGCACATGAAATGGCCTCTTCGCAAGGCAAAATAACAATAAAAAAATAATTTAAGGTAAAAAACATTAATAAATATTAAGGGTAAAAAGTAATATAATAATAATTTAAGATAAATAACAATAAAATAATAATGTAGCGTAACCATGATCTAGGGAATTTAGTAAGGAATATGGAGTCTCAATGATTTCGTAGCAATTTTTGGAACATTTTTTTTCAATTTTTGTGTATTTAGTTATGAATTTTGTAAGAAAAATTAATAAATAATAATTTATGATAAAAAGCAAGGATGTGGTCATGTTAACTGACGTACACATGTGCAACTGCTGAAAGGTGATGCACTCAGGTCACGCCATGTGTCTATTGCATTTATTTTGACTTTTTTAGTGCAAAATTCTTGAAAAAATGTTAATAAATAGTAGGAAAATCGAAAAAATGCCCCAAAAATTGCTCCAGCCTCCTTGTGATGTTATAAAACTTGGGGAAGCTATAAATCATCCATTTCATAATGAAAAAAATACAAAAACCTTTTGATAACTCACTTTCCTCTCAACCCTAGCTATATATCCTTATTAACTTCAACTTCAATAACTTACATCAACAAATATCTCCCGTGAATGTTCAGAATTGTTTTTTAAAATGCATAACCATGATCTAGGGAATTCCGTAAGGAAAATGAAGTCTCAATGAGTTCGTAGCAATTTTCAAAACTTTTTTTCAATTTTTGTGTATTTAGTAATGAATTTTGTAAGAAAAAAGTAATAAAATAATAATTTAGGGTAAAAGGCAAGGATGTGGCCATGTTGATTGACATACACTTGTGCAACTGCTGAAAGGTGATGCACTTAGGTCGTGCCATGTGTCGTATTTCGTTTATTTTGACTTTTTTAGTGCAAAATTCTTGAAAAAATGGTAATAAATAGTAGGAAAATCGAAAAAATGCCCCGAAAATTGCTCCGGCCTCCTTGTGACGTTATAAAACTTGGGGAAGCTATAAATCATCCATTTCATAATGAAAAAAATCCAAACACCTTTTGATAACTCATTTTCCTCTCAACCCAAGCTATATATCCTTGTTAACTTCAACTTCAATAGCCTACATCAACAAGCATCTCCCATGAATGTTCAGAATTATTTGATAACTCACTTTCCTTTCAACCGAAAAAAAATATTTTTGCAATAACCAACATTACAAGTATATTTCCTTAATGTTCATTATCTAATTTTTAATAATACAAATATTAGTTTCCTTTCATATATAAGGCTATAAAAGTATCTGTTTTGTTATAATAATTAGACAATGGTTTGAAGTCATCATGAGTGCGTTATCTTTGAACACGTCAAAGGTTTTCAATAAGTTGTCAATATGACGCCGCATGGGGAATCAGTAAAGTATCTCTATCATGTCCAATCACATAAAATGATGGCGTACTTTTTCTGAAAAACCTCACACATCAGTCAGAAGCATTTTTAAAATATTACTGAATATTTATCCTCGTTTATATGAGTGACTATATCTTCACTCTAAATTTTTTTCTCAGTATATGTTTACTTTGAGGGATTCCACAAACATATAATATAGCAGTGTTCTTGAGAACATTCTGTGGTGTGTGTGTGTATATATATATATATATAGAGAGAGAGAGAGAGAGAGTGGTTGGGTTGAGGATGGGGTGGCTTCGCTGGTTTTTTTTTTCTCAGTTGGCTGGCGATGGGGCTGGAAAATGGGAGAGAGAGCTGGGTGTGGGGTGGGATGGTTGTGGTGGAGGCGTGGCTACCAAGCTAGGGTAGTAAGAATCGAGGGGAGGTAGT